CTCCCTTTGAGAAGCCGTCTATTCATAAGGCGGTCACAAATTTGGTGATGTATAAATTTTCTCATCTGCCTCAGCAGGAATTAAAAACAATATACGAATTGACGAAGATATTCTTGCATTGTTTAAATACATGGGACTTTCCCTCGCCGAGCAGTCAAAAGCAGGTGGTCAGTCCCGAAGAGGCGACAGTTTACACTATTGCATACACACGGTAAATATTAAAGTTAGATGACCATGACTCCCCCAATTATGTGATATTTCAGGTGGTTGATCTTTTGTCATATACCCGCTTTTTGTGATTCTCTGCCCCACTATGATACTACGCAGGTGTTTGGCCGCCCATTGCTTCGTGCGGTTTTTAAGTATGTCTGCAGGCAAATTATGGACCAATTTCATCAGGAGCGAGATCGTATGCCGTTAGAACGCAGGGTGAGTTGACCCTTGTATATTTCATGTGAACTAGCAATTGGGATGCAACAAAAAATTATGCATTTGTACAGGGTAGTTCAAATTTGAGAGTTTCTTATGGGAACACCTCTTATTTCACGAAAAGAAAAAAATCGGAGCTAAATTTTAAAGAGAAAATCACAGGCGCCACAAAATTCAGCTATTTCTAATCATTTGGCCGCTAGGTGGCGTTTGTACTATTTAGTCGATTTTTTTAATGCCCAATGTGTCTCGCAAGGTTTCCATGGCGAACAGAAGATGGCACAATGGTTTGTTATGTGGAAATGTTTATTAGTTCCAAATATTTTTTTATTTCAACTGACACACAAAAAACAAAGAACGTGAAAACGTGTGAATAATAGTTTATTATTATTATTAGAATACAAGACGATAAAGGGTCATTATAACCATTGAGTGAAAGATGTTAATTCACGAGATGGTTAGTTTCCCTTTATCGTCGTGTATAATACAAAACTTTATTTTATATAGCAGAAGCCATACAAATCATTGTAAACCTTCTGACAATTCTGAATTTAATTTAGATGACAAAAATAGCAAGCTTAGGTTCTGCCGTCACGATGGTTTCCATAGAAACAGAATTGTCATATGTCGTGAACGTCATTTTATATTGTGCATTTGAAATAAGATGTCATTAGAATGCGCAGTCATTTGTTTCACTATCTACCCTTACGGTTAAAGAATGGCTTAGCCTGCTCATTCAAACCTGTTAAAATGTCAATTTCACATATGCTATAAAAATAAATAAGTAATATAATATAATAATTATATAAATAAATAATACACAAAACCAAGAAATTGTTGTTTTAAATAATCCTGCCATCTTTTGTTCGCCGTAGAAACCTAGATGTCCGTAATTTTTAATAATTGAAACGTTCACTTACAGGTGATGGTGTTAACTCATTTCCCTCCTTTTCTACAACAACTAGATGAGGAAATATATGCGGTGAACTCTCCCATTTGGGATCCCGAGTTTAAAGTCCCATCACCGCATTTACAGGCCCTTCTCGACACAAGTAGAGTTTCAAACAAAATCTACATCTAATTACAATGACACATTTTAGAAACCAGCACACCAAAACGAGGCGAGTTTGAAAAACTACTCCCCAATGATAAGGACAGTTACACCACGATTACGCTCAGCGCGGGTGCAAAAGTGGAAAGGAAAGGTGATGGAATTTATCGTGAGGCCAAAAAGCGGAAGCTCGCGCCCGAAGAGCAGTTTGAGGATTTGAGCAGTGAGACTGTTGCGGAAATTATTGCGACGATAAATGATCCGAACTACATGACTGGTCCAGATGTAAGTAATTAGCCAAATTTTAATGTTTTCGAATGACGCGTGTTATTTTTTCAGGTTGTCTTCTCCGAGAATGCTCCTGCACGTGATGAAGCACCAAAGCTGGAGGAAAAGCGCAAAATCATCGAATTTCACGTCGTCGGTAACAGTTTAACTGCGCCCGTTACCAAACAAACCATGTTGTGGTTGATCGGATTGCAAAACGTATTTTCACACCAACTACCCAGAATGCCCAAGGAGTACATCAGCCAACTTCTCTTCGATCCGTAAGATTCTCTCATCCACAAGCACATACTACTAACTTCCCCTTCCAGGAAACACCGTACAATGGCTCTCATCAAGGATAACAGTCCTATTGGAGGTATCTGTTTCAGGACCTTTACAACTCAAGGTTTTACCGAGATCGTATTTTGTGCGGTTACTTCAAGCGAACAGGTTAAAGGATATGGCACTCACATGATGAACTATTTAAAGGATTACCACGTACGCAAAAATATACTCCATTTCCTCACATTTGCAGACGAGTTCGCGATAGGTAGAATTTCTTAAAAATTCACTTACAACACCTCGTCATTTTAGGTTACTTCGAAAAACAAGGCTTCTCAAAGGATATTAAATTGTCCCGACCAATTTATCAAGGGTACATCAAGGATTACGAGGGGGCGACATTAATGCACTGTGAGCTTAACCCCAAAATTGTGTACACAGAATTTACATCAGTGGTTCGGCGACAAAAGGAGATTATAAAGCAGTTAATTTACCAGCAACAACGCACTGTTTCGAAGATACACCCCGGACTAACCATCTTCAGGGAAGGTTTGAGGAGTATTCCCGTTGAATCGATACCTGGAATACAAGAGACCGGTTGGAGACCACCAGCGCGAGCTACTCGCGGTGGCCACCAACTTGAAGAATCTCAAGACGTCGACGTTTTAGCCGGTATGCTAAAGATCGTTCTGCAATCGGTAAAAAGTCACGAGGACTCTTGGCCGTTTCGGCAACCTGTCGATAAAATCACAGTTCCCGACTATTACGAACACATTAAGTATCCTATGGGTAAGTTCTCATTCCAAATTGATCAGATGCTACATTTTTAAATTGCAGATTTACGAACTATGGCAGAAAGGTTAAAGCAGAGGTATTATGTCTCACGCCGACTGTTTATAGCGGATATGACGAGGATATTTACAAACTGTCGAATTTATAATTCGCCCGAAACGGAGTATTATAAGTGTGCTGTGAATTTACAGCAGTACTTTCGTACGAAAATGAAGGAGATGGGATTGTGGGATAAATAATTTAGCATAAATTTGTATCTAATCAACGATTATTTAAATGTATTAAAATAAATTCTTAAGTATCGATTATAGTGTTTTCAATTGATGCGAAAATGTATCATGTTACCTAAAGCGCTTATGAATTAAATTTAATAATTTCTCCTTTATTATTATTTACTATATTCACAGTAATCCAAACGGAGAGACTTAGAAGCAAAATCACCATGGACAGAAATGGTATGGTTAATCAGGTAATATGATAATTTGTTTTAATAAGAAGATTAAATGGAAAAAGAAAGACTGATTTGAAGCGCTTTGAACCGAACTTTCTCCATGTTTAAATTGTGAACACACTTTGATGTTTTTCGAAGTTATGGGGGTGAGGAATCTGAAGAAATTTTGTTACATGGTATAATCGCTTAAAGTTCCCGAGGTCCAATATTGTAAAGGATGCATAGTTTTACTTTTATTCGAGGTGCCCACATACAAAATTTCATGCAATTCCGTTCATAACTAACGGAGATGTCAAAAAATCGGATTGCGCATGCGCAAAACAAATTTTTTTACTATCAGTTTTACTTTTATTTGAGGTGCCTAATACGTACAGAATTTCATCTAGATATCTCAAAAGATAAAAAATGGGATTGTGCAAATACAAAAGTTGCATGCGCAATTTGGTTTTATTCATCTGCATAGTTACCTGAGGTTTAAGAAACATTTAGTAACACAGAAAACCAATGTCCATTCATATGTTCTTTATAACAAAAATTATAAAACAAACCGTTTTTTGGAGGTTCGGCAGTTCTTCAAATTTCGAGGAATATCTTCGGAAGTAATCGGAATTTTCCATTTTTCTTTATAGCATGATAATAACTCTTTAATTGCGCAATTTTTCTCTAATTTGACCATCGTTGCATTTCGGAGATCCCCATGATAGACATCCTTATCCTTGCCCACAGCAATGACCACATTTTTAATGTTTGGCATGATTTGGGTACTGCGATGTCAAAAGTACTGATGAATTAGTTGATTTATTAGAAGTTTAAAAAACGGTGTTCTGTTCCCTAAAAAAAATAAATAAATAAAAAATATGGGTTGGAGCAACCCTTACAGAGAGAAAGATAGATAATGGATAAAAGATGATAGTAAAGTGAAGCAAAAATTTGAGCTGTTTGCCACCAATCACATGACTGCCTACAGGCCTTTTTCATAGGATTACAGCAGCAACCGTACCATACCGCAGCATTGCATTTGATTGGGTATTATATGGGTCCCCTCTTTCCATAGTCTAAGGAGCAACCTCCCCAAAAACAAAACAAAAATGGGATGGAACAACCTCCCCAAAAACAAAAAAATTATGAGAGCAACCTCCCGAAAAAAAAAAGATGGGATGGCGAGCAACCTCCCCAAAGACAAAAAAAAAAGTTGAAATGGGACAACCTCCCCAAAAACAAACAAAAGATGGGACTAGAGTAACCTCTCCAAACAAACAAAAATGTTATTAAAGTCTATCTAAAATTGACGCGAAGTAATAAATTATAAATTGGTGAAATAGAAATAGTAATTTTGTATGAAAGTGCTTCTATGTCTCTGTCTAACAAGTAAATTTATTACTTCGCGTCCTGAAGGAATCAAGTGCTCTTGGTTTGTGGCAGGTTTTTCATCCGGTCACGTTTACTAAGTGGATTTGCCGGTTCATTAAACGTTAATATATGTCCAGAACGACCATATTAATATAACATCCTCCTAAACACGACTGAAAACCTGTCCGGCTAAACCTGATCCGGCGTCAAAAACCTGACCACCCAGTCAACTTGTCCTGCGGCAATCAGGCGCCTGATCAGAACCCGACAGTGTGAAGAGTCCTATTCACAACAATGCACTACTGCTCATCAGATCCAGTGTAATGTACACTTTGCACGCGTTTAGCATATTCTCTTTATGGGCAATGAAACACCTTCTTCATGCTCGCTCGAGTACCGAATGTCATTTTATTTCCTTACTTTTCTACAGTCCATTTCCCATACTGTATATGGCATTTGTCATACATCTCACATCTCCCCCCTTAATCTAATGTAACCCATTACATAATTATTGTATTTACTTGGTAAACGTATTCCCCTTCTAGGTCTAGTCTCTGAGGCGGTGTTATCTTGACCTACAATGGGTGTATCTACTATGTTTCTGGATTCCTGTGTCATCTCCTGATCATACCTATGCCGATAACCTTGACCTGTAATGTCATCAAAATGTGAAGAATGGATTTCTACTTTGTCATTTTCTGAATGATTTTCAATTGTTTTATCATCAACGTCATGCATAGCCACATTCCCTTCCTTATTGGCTTTACGTAATAACTTAATCTGATTTACGTGTCGTCTACACATTACTCCTGTTATCGTTTTACACTCATACATAGTTGACCCGATTTTGTCCTCTATTTGTGCTTCCATCCACTGTACTTTATTGATGTCATGGTAGTCTCTGACTAGTACTACATCCCCCCTATGAAATGAACGTACATTTCTTGTCATCTTTTCGTTATTTTGGTTTGCATCATTTGTTTGATATTTCGGTCGAATCAAAAGGTCAAATTTCGTTCTAATTCGTTTCCCAAATAACAATTCTGCGGGTGATTTTTTTGTTACACAATGTGGAGTGTCTCTGTATGTGATAAGAAACCTCGCAATTAAAACTGACAACTCTACTCCAGTGTTCGAACAATCCGCTAAAGCGGCCTTTAAACTAGTTTTAACAGTTTTTACTGAATTCTCAGCTTGCCCGTTACTTTGTGGAGAGTAAGGTGCAATGGTCATATGCTTGATTTTATTATTCGTAAAAAATTGTTGCATCACTTGTGATGTAAAGACTGTAGCATTATCTGATACCACCGTGTACGGTAGTCCAAATCGTGCAAAACAATCGCGTAATTTTTCTATTGTAACTTTACTTGTTATGACTGGAGTTTCATATATTTCCAACCATTTGGTATATGAATCCACAATCACTAACAAGTGAGTTTTCCCAAGATCACAATAATCTATATGAACAGTTTCAAATGGTGTATGTGATTTTGGCCATGGTACATATATTTTGTCTGGACATGGTTTTATTTTGGTGCATGCCACACATGACTTACACATTTGCTCAATCGCTTTATCCATGCCAACGAACCAAAAATATGATCTAGCTAAAGCTTTTGAACGCACAATGCCCTGATGTGACGCATGCAGATCTAACATTACTTGTTTTTGTAATTTGAGCGGTACAACAATTTTGTGCCCCCAAAATAAACAATTTGCTATGGTCTGTAACTCTAATCGCCTGTTATGAAATGGTTTTAATTCTGAACTAATTTCATTTGGCCATGAACTTTTTAAATACTCCATCACTAACTTAAGATTTTCATCTTTTTCAGTTTCGCTTTGAATTTGACTAATGTCAATAATTGAAGTGTCGGTAAAATAAAGTCCATTTTCATCATATGTATCTACATTATTATCTGCTTGATTACCTATTGTTAATCTAGAGAAACAGTCTGCTATCACATTCTTCTGCCCTTTTATGTGTTCAATTTTATAACTAAAATTTGAAAGATAAAGTGCATATCTTTTTAACCTATTCGCGTAAGTCTGGTTTGTTTCTTTATTATTACCTAATATTGCTATAAGTGCTTTTTGGTCTGTCCTGATTGTAAAGTTTTGACCAAAAATATAGTCATGGAATTTTTTTATTGCAAATATACACGCTAACGCTTCACGATGAACTGTAGAATAATTAAGTTCTGCCTTGGTAAACGTTCGTGACACACAGGCTACGATTCTTTCAACCCCATCTGGCATTATGTGAGAGAGTACCCCTGACATACCAGTTTTGCTTGCATCGGTTGTAATATAAATTGGTAACCCTGGGTCAAAATATGTCAATACTTGATCTGTCATAATAATTGACTTTAACCTATCAAAAGCATTCTTACACCCCTCGTCAAACTTAAATTCTTGACCCTGCCTTAACAATATATATAAGGGTTCTAATAATTCAGACATTTTGGGAACAAACCTCGAATAATAATTTACCATCCCGATAAAGGAACGTAACTCTTTCATATTGGTTGGATAAGGAATTACATTTATGGCTTGTAGCTTTTCTTTATCCTTAGCCAGTCCCTGTTTTGTTAACACAAACCCCAGGTACTTGATTTCTCCCTGAAGAAATTTACATTTATCGACATTGACTTTTAACCCTGCTTTTGCCAATTTATCAAAAACTTCTCGTAATATTTCCAATTCGTTTTCTTCTTCCCTATGACCTACCAATATATCATCTTGAAAGATGAAGACATTGGGTATGCCTTGGAACAATTGCTCAATGTGCTTTTGGAAATAAAATCCGCTACATTTCACTCCAAATGGCATTCTATTTACCCTAAAGAGACCCTTATGTGTTGAAATTGTGACGAGACCTTTTGAATCATCCGAAAGCTCAAACTGTAAATAAGCATCAGACAAGTCTATTTTAGAAAACTTTGAATTCCCACTTAAACTCGCATAAATGTCATCAATGCGTGGCAGTGGATAAAACACGTCCTCTAACTCCTTATTCAACTTAATATAATTACCACATATTCTTACCGTACCGTTACTTCTCATGACAGGAATAATCTGCGATGACCAATCAGATGAAATGACTGGCGTAATAATACCATTAGCAATTAAACGATCCAATTCTTTTTCAATCTTAGGTTTCAATACCAATGGAACTGGTAGTGGTCTACTGTGGCTTGGAATGGCGTTAACTTTCAACTTTAACGTAATCTTGGCATATTTAAATGTGCCTAACCCTCCATTCACAACTTCGGGAAATTCACGTGTTATCATCACAGAGGCATGATCATGGATGTCAATTACATTTAACCCTGAAAAGTTAATATTAAATAATTGCATAAAATCTCTGCCTACTAAATTAGCTTGCCGTGTTTTGATTACAAAAAATCTTAGTAACTTAACCCTATTCCTAAACCTAATATTTACATCGATATATCCTACCGGAATGATAAGATCGCCTTGATATCCACAGAATACATGCTCGGTAACTTTAATAATCTGATTAAAGTATTTGTAATAAGTTGCCTCATTAATTGTTGAAATCGGGGAACCTGAATCTAGCAATACGTCCAACTCATTTCCGTTAATATTTACCTTCAACATTATAGGTTTGCTATCTAACTTAACATTAGTACCTACTTTACAAATCGGCTGAATGTCGCATTCATTAACGTTCAATATTGGCTTTACTTGCTTACAAACAATTTCTAGATGACCCACCTTATTACATCGGTTACACATGTATGATTTATACTTGCATACTCCCGTGTGTTTCCTTCCGCAGCATGCACATTTGGGCTTCCGTCGTTGACTATGATCATCCGAAGGATTTCGGTTCAGCTCACTGCTGGTTGACATTCTAGACGGTCCATTTGATCGAAAACGGTTTCCTCGCAGCTGTTTGTGTGTTGTAACGGCATTGATGTCCCTTGTGGTCAAGGATGAACATTTAATCGCGGTCTCCTTCGCAACAGCTATGTCGACGATCGCCTTTAATTCTATGGTGACTTCGGATTCTACAGTTTTGTCCAGTACCGGACCTGGTCTTAAACCTGCTACAAACTTATCCTTGAGCACGTCTGATATATTTACGAATTTACAGTCAATGGCTAGTCGTTTAATCCGCGCGTACCATTCACTACAACTTTCATTTGGATTTTGCACTTCCTGATAAAACTTGATTCGCTCGCGGAACGTATTCTTTGGCGGTGAGTTATGTTCCCGCAATATCTTGCACAATTCTTCGTACGTCTTACTGTGTGGTTTGTCGGGAAAACATAGATCTCGCAATGTTTTGTATGTGTCGTCACATATTAGGCTGATCAACATTGCTATTCGCTTCTTTTCCTCAATTCCATTTGCTTCGCAATATTGCGCAAATTTTTCTTCATATATATGAAAGTCTTGACCCATGTTGAATTCCTTGATATGTCCAATTAACCTTGGCTTATCTTCAACTGTCGCCATTTCGCTTACAGGTTTTTACACGTCTTTGCTATAGAACGGAGCCTATCGTTCGCTGATGTGTTTCCACTGTTTAGATATACTTTCTTTCTTCGGACCCGAATTAACAGTTACTTGTTCCTCGTCGCCATGTAATGTACACTTTGCACGCGTTTAGCATATTCTCTTTATGGGCAATGAAACACCTTCTTCATGCTCGCTCGAGTACCGAATGTCATTTTATTTCCTTACTTTTCTACAGTCCATTTCCCATACTGTATATGGCATTTGTCATACATCTCATTCATCCGTTACCGAGATCTCGATCAATTTATAAAAGGCGCTCAAACCAATGATCGGCCGATGCAGGAATAACACGGAATATAATGCTGTAATCCCGAAAGTTCCACGATATTCCGTTGCCGAGATTTTGATCGATTTTTAAAAAGCGCCCGAACGGCCGATAGTTATTGTGAAACTATAAGCAAAGAGTAGGTACCCATAATTTTTAAGAATCAAAAATGCGCTAAAATATTTTTATTTCCCATTGCAGTTACATTTTTGTTGCGAATACGAATACATCATTTTAGTGCACTGGCAGTCATGTAGGCCATAGGGTGTAACATTTTCGACACATTTGTAGGATATCTTCGTAATTGTTAGTGTAATAAAAAAGTAATATAGGCGTCATGTGCTCTTTTTGAGTCAAACTTAGATAATTATGGTAAACATTGCGGCAATGTTTATTACAAACGTTTCTTTACAATGATTGTTGAATACGTCGACGTTTTTAAAGTAAGTATACGTGGTCAGGTAAAAAAGTTATCGAACCTATCCCTATATATTTTATTATAAATAATTTAAAAAATATAACACTAAAAAAATTCAATATTGGTTCAAAAAGATTCAAAAAATATTTTTTTTAAATTTAAAAATCGCTTTGAAATTTTTTTGTTTTTTTTGAGTCACTTTTTTTGAATATTAACCCTATAGTGTGTTGTATTTTCGAAATGAAAATTTAATATGCTAGCCTTTTAGATTAAAATTTAGAGGGCGTCATTCCATTTAAAAAATTAGGTTTCGTAATAAACATTTTTCTGTACCTTTTTTAACTAAGAAAATATATAGGGTCATTCTGAAATTGACCAGTTTTTTAATTTTTCCCCGTATTTTCTTAACTGAGCGAATATTTTCATTTTGATATTACCTTTTTAAGTTTAACCCAAACAGAGCCTATGGCACCTTATTACTTTTTTGATAGTAGGTACTAACACAACAGTTACGGAAATACCCCATAAAAGTATAGAAAATGGACACCCTGTACAGTGATGTATGTCACAGCTTACTTAAATAAGCTGTGGTGATGTTGCAAATTATGATTTTCTAGCATCCTTTTATCTCATTCGCTTAAAAAGTGTAAGCAAACTGAAAGCGCATCGTACTGTATACACTGATAAGCATGTTCATTTAACCATTATTTAAGCCTCAGAGCAAGAAATAAAGTTGCTTTGAGATATGATAGATATGATTATTTGTTTGTCTTGTATATTTTTTAATTTAAAGTTAGTGTATTTAATAGGTAGTTACATTTTATTTCTCAGGAAGATGTAGTGGCAACAAGTGATGTATAATACCGTGAATCGTCGTACTTTCACGAAGTTCATGTGAATTTGTTATCAATTTGTTATTTATGGATATTGTACGTAATCTATTAATTTGACTAGCTCTTAACATTTTTGATTGACCCCCTAATCAATACTTGATCTTTTAGAACGGAAACCATTTCGTGTCGTTATTTTAACCGTATGTGTCGCGGAGAGGTTCCGTCTCAATATTGATGATAAAATCAGTTGTAAACAATCGAAATGTTTACCATCGCCAAGCGGGGAGTGGGAACAAAAGAGCAACGGGGTACAGAAGCGATACACTCCGGACATTTTATGATATCACATTTTGAGGCCGAGGAGCAGGACGACGATGACGAACTTGCGGTTCCAATTCCGGAACCTGAGGTTAACGAGTTGCGAGACATGTATAGGCAAGATCATTCTGGCTTCGAAATCCCAGATGTCGCTTCGAAGAAAACGTTTTCTCAGCAACCTTTGACAATTGATACAAGCTTAGCGAAGCTATTTCAATGCATGTCCATTGCTTACAGGTGTGTGAGTAAACATTCATTAATCGCTTATTACCGTTCCTATTGCATCGTAGACAAAAACTTACGTCGCCCAAGTGGAATCGGTTTAGAGGGATTCGTTTACGTTGGAAAGACAAAATACGATTAAATAATGTTATATGGCGTTGTTGGCACATGCAATGTACGTATTATCTTTATAGTTATTATTTTATCATCTCGGCTAGTGTTACTTCATGAGGAATTTTACACCATTGTTAATAAAATGACAGTGTCCTATGGTAAAGATACAGGGTGAGACCGCTCATTTGGTCAATTTTGTATTTATTATTATTGCAAAAATGGAGTAGTGTGCACAAGCTGGTTCAGTCATCTACCTATAGAGGTTGCATGCGTATTACCGGAAGGTGGTGGGCAAAGATAATACTGCGTTTGATAGACACAGTTAATGGAAGATTTGCTAACCATTTGGTTAGTTCCATAAAGATGCTATAGGGGGCTTTTACCATGAAGCATGTCGTCTGAAGTTGTAGTTATACATATTTGGCACATGGGTCACAATATAATCTCTATCATGATCTAGTTAACATTTTTTTTCTTATTTACAAAGATTAAACTAGATTTTACTATATATGCTAATTACTCTGTTACATAATATTCACAATTTCAACAAATTGTATACATTTCTTTTTCAAATGAAGAGAGTAGCGTATACAGGGTGTAACGTAAAAAATGCAGCAAATTGTATTATAGTTTGTTCCAAGGTGAGTGAAATTTGGCAACTGTGTATGGGAGGTAAATATGCATTAAAATGCGTATTTTTAGGCACATTGTATGTTCTTCAAGGGCTTTCCGTGTTCTTTCGATTTCTTCCAAAATCTTGTCCAAAGCTCTCAAGACTTATATGTGTCTATAATCTATATGGGTGTATGGAAGTTTCTTGAAGACTTCAGAAAATGTTTAAGGTGTTCCTGAAATATCTTGATTGATCTTGATTCAATGCACTACAGATAAGTACAGGAGTTTTGTAAATATTTTGTGTGATCTTTTTAACTTGCTACCTGGTGGGACGTAGGTTAAAAAAGTTCCTTATTGAAGGTAATATTAATGAATGGTAATTTGTGTTTAATTTAACATTAAGGTAGAAGTTTTTTTTGTTTTTTCCTTTGACGGCCGGTTGCAGGAAAGCGAATTATAGTCAAAATCCTAGATTATTTGCCAAATGTGAGTTTAAACAAGAATTTTGACATTTGATTGGCTGCATACTGCAGTATACAACCAATCAAATGTCTTAATACCGGATAAGTCTGCAAAACATTTTAAACACTTTCCATATCAGTAAAAAGCTTCTACAAGGTTTTCAAAAGCATCCTAGTGCCACCGAAGAGCTGTTTAGACCCTTTGCAGAACTTAGGACCTAACAAGAGAGCCTTAGGGTGGAATTCATAGATATTACTTTTCACTTTCACTGTACTCATACTTAACGTGTACTTAGTAACATTTTTGTATTCAGTGAAATATTTGCCAAAGTGACGCATGACATTAGTGCTGGTATAGTAATTTTGTAATTAGTATACAGGGATTGCATCTAAGACTCCTCGGATCTTAATTCCTTATAAAAGATATCGAAAAAGTCTTGGTAACATTTCACAACATGGATTAAAAAACAATCGTACACTGCCAACACTTTACTGTTAATTGTGACAATTAACATCTTTTGTTTCATCGAGGCAGACTTGGAAAAGAACGTTTTTAGGCGAATTATGGAATATGTGGTTTTGTTTGATCAATGGAAATTTTGTAGTTTTGGCTATCTAGAGCTATAATGTGTTATTTTAAAAAATAGACGTGCGAAGGTAAAATAAGTTTCATCTTCGATTCCTCTCAAAAAAAAAATTCTAAGAACTCAAATTTTAAGGAGGAAAGGTTATAACAGCAAAGGGCGTAGCATGTTACATAAAAAAATAAGTACTTTCCAAATCTGCAATAAAATATGAAGTGTTCCATTTCAAAATACGCAAGTTTGATACGCCACTGGAATACAGCATACCCCTGGTGATAAAAAATATTTTACAAACATGACAACGGTCATTTAGTATAATTTTGCGCCAAGACTTTTTTCGGTATCTGTTATGGTAAACGAATTAATCTATTAATCGATACGACTTTCATTTTGGACGAGGCAGATAAGAATTGCTTTTTTGCATGGTCGTTATTATGTAAATCAAATACACCCAAGATATTTCGAAAACTATCAGAGATAGGTATAGGACATTATTAACTAAAGTTGAACTTTCTGGGAGGAACTAAAAGATGATAGAAAAATATACAGGGGGTTCTACTTAAAAAAGTGAGATTTTTAATATGATGTTTTTAACTTTGGACCTACAAAAAAACACCCTTTAAGATATTTTTTTAATGTTTCATAGTTTATGTATTTATTTGACTTTTATTTTACCCAGTATAAAAGATATAGAGCCTGGAATTAAAATTTAAGTAATAATTTTGACAATAAACTGACGTTTGGAATTTAAAAAAATGTACTATTTTAGCGCCTTACTTTGTGAACGCACCCTGTATAATTCCAAATACAGGGTGTAAAGCGATGGAGTATACAAGAGGGAAGTTTTTTTTAAATATTGATTTATGAAAAAAATTTATTCTTCATGATATTTTTTGCTTGCTTTGAAAGTACCAATAACGTTTCGATAATCTAAAATTTATTTATAGAAATCTGGAAAAATAATAAAATTAATTTTTTTTATTGAAAGTTATTACATCATATCACATTATAATCAAGATAGCGTATTGCTATCAAACGACAAACAATCGAAACGTTATTGGCACTTTCAAAGCAAGTAAAAAATATGAGGAATAAATTTTTTTCATGAATCAATATTTAAAAAAAATTCCCTCTTGTATACCCCATCGCTTTACAATAAAATGTGGAGAATATTTGAACCATATCATAATACAAAAGCATTTTATCTTATTTTCAGAGCATTAAGTTCGCGCATCGTTGACTCATCCTGTACACTGTATCTCTAACCGTTACAGATATTCCAATGATGAGCCACCAGTTTAAACCATCCTGCCCTATTTTTAACATTTTTTTCTCAGTACATAATTGTTAGTGCTATGAAAATATTCGTTAGTTTAAGAAATATTAAAAAATGTCTATTTCAGAACGAGGCTATATTTTCGTAGGAGGCACAGAAAAATGTTTATTACAAAAGATTCTTTATAATGATTGTTGCATAATCTGCAGTTTTCAAAATAACATACAGGGTTAGGTAAAAAAGTCGTCGGACCTAATTTATTTTTTTTGAAATGGAACACCCTGTATATTTTAATCTCAAAAGATAGCAGGTTAAATTGTCTTTTAAAAAATATAACATTACAGAAATTCAAACATTTTTAATATTGATTCAAAAAAGAAAAAAAAATTATAAATATGTATATTATACAGTGTTACATATGTATAAAACAAAAAATTGGGTGGTAGCGTGGTTCAAAACAAGCAATTTTTCCAAATTGGGTTGAGTGGGAAGAGTAGCAAATTGCTAACACTCCGCCCACTATAAAATAAAAAATAAAATAAATAAATAAATATACTGAGGGTCCAACGTGTTTCGTTAGTGGTGAAATTTGCACCCCCATTTAGGGGCGCGTCCTTTCATGGTAGTTTTGAAAAAAAATTCCAAAATCGGATAAGTATACCCCAAAACTTACTCAAAGACGTGGTATCATTATTGCTAATGCTAATGAAATTATCACTACATCAAAAAATTGCAAAATTAGCAATATTGCTGATTTCGCTTTGAACAGTCACTTTGATGTTATCATGCAATGATAGCCCCTGTGACAAAAAGACGTATTCTTATTTCTAATAGATTATCATTTATATTTTAATATTAAATTCCCACTATCATTTAAGATTGCATTGTAGGTGCGAGTGTTTCTATCAAATAAAAATTTATTTTATAAATGATAAGAGCTTTTAAAAACCAATATTTGACTTTGATAACTTATTCTAGTTTATCTATAGTTCCTGTGATAGAATTGCAATGCGTAGAACTCAAATGTGTCCTTACAAATATATATTTCACGTTTATCCTTTCTTTCTTAGTTAGTTGTTCCTCTTATTTCATTAATTACACTATGCCAAATACTTTTCTTTTGCAATATTGGTTAATACAGATATAGCGCATTGTACTCTATAAGTTAGGAATTTTCCATTAGAACAAACGTTCACTGTAAATTATAATAACTGTTTAGGTAATATGATTTTATATGGATTATTTTGTTTGGCGTGGGAAAGTGGTTTCTGTTTTTTTTGTATCTATTCAAATAACATCAGACAAAAATAAAAACCACATCGGCAAATTTCGGTTTTTCGGGTGAGTAATCGGAATTATCTGGCTTTCTTTAAAGCATGAGAATAACTGTTTAATTGCGCAACTTTTCCCTAATTTGACCATCACCGTATCTTCTATGGTTTCGGAGATCCCCATGATAGACACCCTTATCTTGGACACAGTGTATAACTTGGTAAGCATATGAAAAGCTTATATGGAACATCAGAATACAAATTAAAACCCTGATATACAGTGTGTACAAGGTAGAACGCATCATAGGCAAACAGTAATGTATTTTTTCGCGAAGGATCGGCGAGGTCTTTGAAATTAGTGTTTAACATACTACTTCTCTTTCTAGCATTAGGCAAGCGCAATAACGTACGTTGAACGCTAACTTCAAATACATATCAAAGGCAAACCTATTAATTCTGTTTGCCTATGGTGCATTCAAGCTTTGTATTAATTCTCCCCCTACATACATTTGTATGTAGCTCAAAACCGAGCGGGTGATCGGTATACAGGGTGTCCATTTTTCAAGTGCTACTATGGGATCTCGCTTATCTTAACAGATAGGAAGTTAGTTAAGAGGATTAAGTTGCGAATCTGAAAAGAAATTTAAAATATCTTTAATAGTTTTGAAATTATCCCAAAAAACGAAAATGTCTGATTTTTTCATGATAAACCAATCGTACTAGTTTATTACTTTATGTAGAATTCAAATATGGCCCTTTTTTGATATCTTGGAACTTTTTCTAAGATTTATCAAAAACTCTAGAGTTTTATGGGAGGCCCCCAGAACTCTACCAATGTACCGCAGTGTGGAAATGTCCAAAATTACCCTTGTAACTTAGGGTTTGCAGCAAAAGAGCGCAAATTAATTGTCTTTAACCTTTTTACCGGTTGCCGTTTTATTTATAATTTTTTCCAGTGCCGACACGTTTTTATTGAATTTAATCCGTAATTTTTGTGCATTAATAGGTAATTTTAATCCCTAGGGATTAAAAAAAAATTTAATCAATATCAACCATACCAATATTCATAATTGTCACAATCTACAACCACAAATTTTGGAAGCATGAGAATGCAATGTTTTACACAAACTAACCTTTATCAGCAAGTGACATCTTAGGGGATGAAAGAAGCGCCTTCATATGATTAGTGACTTTCGTCTTCAATATTTTTAGAAGGGTTTACAGGCATGATTTTACCAAAATAAAAAATTCTTAATTTTTGTTGACAGTTACAAACAAGCGAGCGTAACAATGACACCCTAAAAAGCCTACCTTACTTTTTAATAGTTTTTATAGCATATTAATTTTGAAATGGATTCAGATCGGTCGGTATTGGAAAAAATAGTAACACTGGATTAAACTAGTTTTTGTTCCCTCAAGAATTTTAAACCATTCTTTCAGGAACAAAAACTCTTTTTAATCCCTTGTTACTTAATATACTATTATTAGAACCTCGTATAAACACATCAGGGGCATAACGTTGATTAGTAACTGGTTTTTTTACGTAACTTGCCACTCCAAAAATAGCGCAACGAAATGTTTGCACCTTGGACTCCAACGCTTTCGTGGTAACAATTTATTTGAATACAAGCATCCTTAATCCGATCGTGCAATGATCCGCAAATATTCACGTACGTAGAAAAAAAGTAACTTTTTGCACTGTTCACGGTTGAAAAGTATATCGGTCGTCCATTAATTTTCGCTACACGACGAAGGTCTCTTGTTCCATAAGAAACGCTTTGTTCGAAAGGCTACCACCGAGGCTACTACTGTATGTATAAAGTACGCACGACAATAAATTCCTCGAGAATGGTGGTACAAATCTTCAGTTGCGCGGTTAACGATTATTTTGTATACGGCAGTTATGCGGCTTTCGGTTCGACTTTATTCGAATTAATAATGAAATTTTTACGCGATTTAAAACACAACCCACAATATTGACGTTGAAAACTTGGCGAAGAATTTCGCTTTTACGCGATTTTAAAATGCTTGCGTGGGTTCTCTTTGGAAGTTTTAGTAAGACTCCCGCTCTCCCACCAGATTTTTACTTAGGTAAGGGTATAACAGAACATAGTCCTCTTATTCTCGGCTTAACGCGTTTCATTCTATTGTATATTAGTGCCGTTCTCTTTGGATATGAAGCAGTACACATATAAAATTTCTTATACTGACAGATTCGTAAATTTAACAAAAAATATAGAAAGCGACCACCTGTTACAGGGGCTACTTTCACTTTTCTGTTGATTTCAACTCCCCCTCATGAATTATTGTTATATATTTGGTTGTATGTTTGGCAAATTTGGGATAATCGTTGTCATCGCAAGGAATTAATTTTCACCAACTAGAACAACTTTTCTTTGTGACTCCTTGCGGACGTTAGTGAATGGTGAGGGGAGGGGAGGGGAGGGGGGGCTTATAAATTGGTTTTATCCTTCATGGTACTCTAGTGAAAGGTTTCAATGAAAGAAGTTAATTTCTACCAACCACAGCTCTCCTTCTCGACGCTCTATCGTGGTCAGTTATAATTCCTTGTATCTCAAGAGCGAAGTGTCAGAAGAGAGTTAGGCCGTCTTGAAGCAATATATCCATTAGGGATGTCAACACTGAAGTGTGAATATGCCAGAATGGAGGGTAGGAGGAAGGTGATTCTTCTTGCATTATATAGCACAGATTTTGAACGTGTGGCAGGCGGCACGTTAAATGTATACGTAGTTTTCTGCTTCATGTTCAAATGTAATATCATCTTCCAAGTCGTTAAGCAATCTAGAGTAGGTCATGAAAGGGAGAATATTTATGTACCTTGTGTGCTAAATTAATGGGCGCGCTCATAAGACACAACTGTTGTGGAACAGTTACCGATACGTCTTATAATTACGTCGCTACTTTTACGCTCTTTACGGAGCAGTCGGCCATTTTTAGTAAAAGAATTACAAATTGAGATAATGAATTTGTCTACGGTTCATTACAGATTCCTGTACAGAACTAAGGAAGGTAAAAAATTATATTATATTTGTACCCCAGAAGAGCACACTTTCTAATTACCTAAAACTGTAAAAATATTCGATATAATTTATCACAATGCAGTTAAGCGCGTTTTACAGATTTAAAATTCTCTTAGTCGAGGACATGCGCAATAGGTGTTTTTCTTTAAAGTAAAATAACTTTCAACTTTTTGGTTCGCACCGTGAAATTTTAGGGCTGCCAACTTTTAACATTTAAAATTAATGTTATGTTTTGTATCATTTGTGTTGATGGGCGTAAAGGCAGCTTATTGAGCGAAAATTACAACTGCACTGCAAGTTATGAAAGGCGCCGATCTAACCTATATTTTTTAGGTTGGTATTAGGAAAGTCTCACTTAACAGTGAAATAGAATGAACTTTAAACTTTAAAAATATCTGGAAAGTTGTCAAAACTTTTCCATTAGCATTTAGCAGCGTTATTCATTTTACGCCAGCACTGCTTGTAATTATATATTTAATTATGTAGATACATACCAAAATGTCTTAATGAAATCTGCACCCTAGGAATTACTTACACTAAATTTTTTTCTTGTATTCTACAAGCCTGAAAAGTACTTCCTTTATGTTGCAGTTATCAAAAGAGTCAATACCTACATCTGTCAATTTGCCTCCCCTCTGGACGTCGACACACATAACAAACCGGAGGTACCTTCGGTACGGATCCGATCCTCAATCGAGACTGACAAAATAGTTTTTTCAGGCAATTGTCTTGGAGGGGAAATATTGGAAAAGAAAACTAGCGGCGGTAACTGCTGAGTATAAGAAATGGCGCATGTTCCATCGCACTCACGTCTTAGGGCATGCCCTAAAAGAATCCATGGACACAGTAAGTCTCACTACCAAAACAGTACACATTATTTCTGCTTTTTTTCAGTTAAGCGAGCTAGATGCTCTAGTTTGGCATTCTCAAAGCTCGGACAGCATGCATATGATGGTGGATGAAGATTACCTAGGACTTATGAGTGATACACTATTTTCTACGATAACCAGTCAACCATTTGTTTTTCCTGATAGTAGGGAGATCGGTAAGAGCTTGTTTAGTTATTCGTTTTCACAATAACGGTGATCATGTGCCGTTCGCATGTCATATAAAAAAATCACAGCCCAAACTTGATTTTTTTTACATAACGTCGAATCGTTTGCAAGGGTCATTTGATAACACGATTAATTAATTACTTTATACGATTAAAAATAATAGCGACGTTTCTAAAAATATAATGTGTTTATATTAATCGTAATTATTATATGAAAACATTTGTAAGATCCTAATAGTTGATTGAACATGTCGTGTTGGGATTTACAAAAAAATTGTAATTGCATCTCGGGGCACCCATTACAAGAAAATGGTGCAGACCATAAGTATGTTTTATTAACTGGAAATGAAATTTGTGTGTAAATTAGGTTAAACGTTTCATAATTCTATTTATGTTGTTAGCCAAAGCAGGTCTGGCGGACTTCATTCAACCCAGTTTGGGTCCGCTGCAGCCGAGTTTGGAGGATTACATGGATACCTTTGAACCACTGCAAGGTAAGTGGCTATACACTAAAGTGCGCGATCTAACTGAACGTAATTTAGATCTCATTACCTCAAAACTTCCCACCGTGCCCGAAGAAAATGGAAGTGATCCGTTATATAGGCATACGAGTAGTAGTTGGTGCTATACAGATCTAGATCTTATGTCGACTAATAGTATGCAGGTATGCTGTCTAGAATTGTATAAACTTTTCACTAGTATATTTAATTGCTTGCTTGTTTCTACTGTTGCGCGAATTGCAATTCTTGTTTGTTTGCGAAATTTCGCAATTATACAAAGGCAGAGTAAATTAACCTCAAGATCCATCACTATTGGTTGATTACCTGATCCGTTAATGCGGATAATAAATAAAGTCCTTTTTTAATCTCACCACCACATCCCAATCTCGGAGAGTTAGGGTGAAATTTTTATGCATAAATGGTGCCAATGAGAGAATGCTGGGAATTATTTTTACGATCACCGCTAAATGGCGAGCATGGACTCTGTAACAGAAAAACAGAATAATGGATGTCTTTTCCAAATTTTAATCCGATTCTTATATATCGGGCGATCAAAAATGAGTGACTGTCGAGTCGCCTTTGGAAGTACAAGTTAAGTACGATTTCCCTTGTAAACAAAATTTCCAAAGGTGACTCGACGGTCACTCATTTTTGATCGCTTTGTACATGTTTCATGCATATGATTCTAATGGCCACTATTACAGCTAAATGATGAATTCAGTTATTCATTGTTTCATTTCGCATTTGATGCAAATGTTAGCTTTGATAATGGCTATTAGAATTATATGGCTGAAACATTTATATTGAAAGTAGATAGGTCCATATCACCTATATTTTGTTAGAATTTAGCGATTTTATTGGTTTATATTGGATTACGTTGTCAAAAAGTAGTTTGGTTTTTAAGTGTTGTTGGAATATTCGAAAAGACGAAAATAAGCAAAAAGAAATTTTATTCGGCTTAAAAAAAGGACCAATATCATGAGAAGCTTTTTTAGCACATTTTTTAAATTTTAAAAAAATATATATTGCGTTTTGCCCGTCCGTCCGCCTCCGAATCCACTTCTGCGGTTTTGAACTATCTTTAGTGGAATTGTCCTAGAGACCTGGATGTTTTGCAATAGGTATCCAATACCTTGAAGGTGTAAAAACTTAAACTTGAGAAGTGTAGCATGCATGCTACTACCTTATAACCCAATTATTTACTATAGCGCGTTCGCACCTCCAAATTCAATATGGTGCTTATGGACATACGTGCCAATGACAGCACAAGGAGATTATGTATTGTTTTAATACTTCCATTTAATCATATGTTAATTTGACATCAATGCGGTTAGAAACAAGGATAGCATTATCGAAGAATGACGCAAACTAGTAAGAGAGGCAATTAGTCCATAAGACCCCATACTGATTCTGGATGTGCGAACGCGCTATAGGAATTTATGGTTAAAATATTGTGGTTTTATGGTGTAAGACTGGAATAAGTCTAATTTACATTTGGCAAGTTTACTGGCGGAAAGTACTTTCGGCCAGTAAACTTGCAAAGTGTAAATGAGCGGAAAGTGCACTTGCTAGTCACTTGCTACTTGCCCGCAAGCGGCAAGTGAAGTTGAGGACCTGGCTAGTTTGGTGGCCGACTTGTCTGTCTGGACTGTCAAATTTATGTAGATTCTGCATGTAAATAGAGTGGGAAAGTTAGTTAAAATTTTTCCGGAACAATGAAGTGGAACGGTGACCAAATAATAAAGTTTTTAAATGTGTATGAGAAATATGAGGTACTTTGGGGCATAAGAACGGAGACCATACACATAAGCTAAAACGGCACAATTCGTTTGAACAACGAACAAATGACAGAAACAGAAAACATTCTGTGTACTGATATTAGTTCAGGCAAATTGGACTTTTTCCAAAGAAAATCGGTAATGGAGCTTTGCCAAGTGGATATGTTAAAAATGGTCTATAAGTGTGCGTTTACAATGAACGTATACGTAAGAAATACATAAAACGTAAAAATTTCGCAAAGTTGAACTCTATAGAAACATACGAAGGTGTTTACAATGAATATGTAAGCGATATGTAAGTCTTGCGCATAGTCGCAAGGGTTGAAAATGTTTCAAAGTTACGTACGGTCAAATATCATACTACTTGTACTATGAACTTTGGTTTATTGTAAACAGCGAAGTAAATTTACGGAAACGATACGGATATGTACGAGTTACGGTTTATGAAATATTTACGTATACTTTCATTGTAAACGCACACTAACGAATACACAAAAAAATAAATACGTGAACAGGGGAGTGGGACTAAGTTTTTGGGGAACGTGAAAAGGGGTGAAAATCTATTCTAAACATAACGGTCATACTGCTTTCAAAAATTCCAGTAGGTATATTATATTTCAGCACACAACATTATTTCCTCGATTATTTCATTTCAATGTTTCTTAATAATACTATCAAGGAACGAAGTCTCTGTTCAAACAATGAAATGTAGTTTTTTCTGTATTTTTTTTCCGTAGAATCAAATGCTGAAATCAGTTTTTGACCAATTTCCAAAATTTAAACAAATTATCAACAATTACTAGAAAATTCAATGTTGCCGAAGTGGTTTTTGGAATCTTTCCGATTCTTGACCTTTAATCTATAATTTTTTTTATTTCATTAAAAAGTATAGATAAAAACGAAGAGAATGACATCAAGTTGAACTTCCTACGATAAATCTCTGAAGGACAATTTTTATTCGAAGAAAAAAGTTTTTTGCCGAAAAAAACGAATATTTCGGAAACCTCATAATTTTTATATTGAAAAAATTTGTAGTTATTTGAATCATAAAATAGTACCTACGAGCCCTAACACATAAATGTTCGGACATCTAGCATTTTTAAAACAGAGCCAAAAAAAAAATAAACCCAGGTCAATGTCAATAAAGCCACAAATATCTTATACAGAAATATGTATTATAAGTTTATTGTTTATGTTTAATAGCAAAAAACAATTTTTTTAATGCTCTCACAACATAAAAATGAGAAAACCGGCGAAATTAACTGACACATAAATGTTCGGACACCACACATATTTGATAGTTTGATCTAGATAGCAGGAGAAAAACAAAAAATAATAACTTTTATAACCTGTCAGTACACTTTGACATTTTGTTAAAAGAAAAAATTGCACGTGGCAAAGCGACACGGAAAGAAATTCGACAATTAATAGTAAAATGGTTTCTTAACGGAAAATCCTTTAGGACAATGGCAGATATTGTAACAAAGTATGGGAAAACAGCATCAATCGAAGTTGCAGGAAACAAGCACAGGAAGACGGCCAACAGTTACCCCTAGAATGCAGGGAGCGCTGATAACCATTTGCAAATCTGAACGAAGAGACACAGTACGGAATCTTACGGTAAACGAGTAAAATGGAACGAAGTAACAAATGCTCATCTTTCTCGCTAATCCTGTCGAAGGTGGATCCACAAATCAGGTTTACATTTTTATAAAGTAAGTGGATCTTTAGATTAAAATTAGTGAGCCTTAGAAAATACTTTTTTAAAGAGGTGAAAGAAAAACATCTTTAACACAGAAAAACAATAAAGAAGAGGTTGGCTTGGGCTCGGGAAAGGCAGGCGTGGTCTTACAATGACTGGAAAAAAGTCATTTTTAGTGATGAATCTCGATTTGATATCAGTGTAGGCGATAATCGAGAAAGAGTTATCAGAACGGAAAACAACGCATTTCAGAAAGATTGCTTAAAGCGGCCTGTAAAATTCCCCATTGGTGTAATGGTGTGGGGCAGTATGTCTGCAAATGGGTTGGGACAATTGCACTTTACAAATGGTAATGTTTATGCTCAGAAATATCAAGCGATTTTAGAACAAAGTTGATTGCCTTCACTTGCGACATTTTCACCTGATGCAGACTTTGTTTTTGAACAAGACGGAGCATCCTGTCACAGCAAAAAACGACTAAGAAATGGTTACAAACCATAATAATAGTGTTTTAGAGATGACATAAAATGAAGCAACGTTTGTGTATTCATCCGCAACGCAGTATTGCTTCTTTGAGTTAAAAATTACATACCTTTGGCACGGATCAATGTAAAGCTCTTGTGACGACCATGCCTACACGAATCCAGGCTGTTATTAAAGTCAAAGGGGATGTAACTCATTATTAAGGGGTGGTGTCCGAACATTTTTGTGTCACTTTAAATTCTAATTTTTTTGTGTTTTGTGTTATTTGACATTTGTAATTAATTTATAACTATAGTAGGAAAAAAAATAATAAAAAAACATACAATGATTTTAAGTTACAATATTTTTAAAATTTTGAGTGTCCGAGCATTTATGTGTTAGGGCTCGCATATTTCAACCAAGTCTCGTTAAAAGATAGTCATTTTTGCGGAAATGAACAATGAAAAACAAGGTTTTCCGCGATTTTTTCGGTTATTTTGAGGTTATGTGAGTTTTTCACGATCTACAACATTTCCATTGAACTCTTTTGTCTCTAATCTCAACTTTTGCCAGAAATTCCTGTCATACGATTTTCACCCATTTTCATTCTCTCCAAAAACCTAGTCCCATTCTCCTACTCACGTACTTATTTTTTTTGTATTTGTTATAGACCATTTTAACATACCCACTTGGCAAAGCTCCATTAACGATTTTCTTTGGAAAAAGTCCAATTTGCCTGGACTAATATCAGTAGACAGAATGTTTTCTGTTTCTGTCACTTCTTTTAATAGCTGTTCGAACGCATTGTCCCGTTTTAGCTTATTCGTGTGGTCTCCTTTACTTAGTTCCCAAAGTACCTCATATTTCTCATACACATTTAAAAACTTTTTGATTTGGTCACTGCTCCACTTCATTGTTCTATGCAGCAACTACACTGAAACTATATAGTCCAGTTAGTGGGGGTTTTTTGAATGCAAAAGGTGGGGTAGTAGCGATTTTTTAGTATATTGTTAAGCTTGGGGTCCTAATGAAAAATGTTGGAATAATAGAATAATGGAATAATGAAAATTTTGTTCTCTTTAACTTTGTATACTTACAACATCGTTTGTCATTTCTGAGTTATTATCAACAAATCAAATTTTTGTACCTAAAATCCAAGATGGCGGTTCGAGCGCATGCGCCTCGAGGTGGAAAACCTGGATTTTTCATTATTAGGGCCCCAAGCTTAACAACATACAAAAAAATGGTTACTACCCCACCTTTTGCATTCGAACACCCCTTTTTGATACCGACGTACTGGACTACTACATAAATTGGACAGACCACACAGGCAAGTCGGCCACCAAACTAGCCAGGTCTTCAACTTCACTGGCTCCTTGCGAGCGAGTGCCACTGCCACTAGTGCGGTATAGCAAACAGCGCGACAGTGATATTTCATTCGTGTTTGCTATACAAGGTACAAGAACAGACGTTTGTTCCTCGACGAGGAAGATTTACTTTAATTTCAGCCATCTTGCTCAAAAGACACCTGATGACTGTTGAACAAAAATCTTGCAGTGTCACTGCAGTGCAGTTTTGCTTAGTGCGGTATTACCTTTAGCTTGTCGTAAGCTGCGTGCGCGCATGCGCAAAACTAAGTAAATGTTTATGTCATGGTTACGTTTCGCTATTTCCCTGTTAAGGGAAGTCCAAAAGGATTAATATTAGGTCAAAGATTCATTTTTATATAATTCAGGATTCTTGTCTAAACTCTCTGCGAATGATACGATGGTTTCTGGATCTATGAGTTGTTAGTTGTTAGATACCTGAATAAATAAGTCAAAATCACAATGGTGAACTATTTTGATTTATGATATACAGTGTGTGCCCGGATGGACTGAACAAGAGGGAAAAAATTTGTAATTTTAACTTTACATTTTTTACATTGCATAAAATAAAATGTTTCTCATAAGCTATAAGGTGTCTTTTTTAACTTGATTTGCTTATCAGGTTGCCATGGAAGATACAATGATAGTCTGATTTAATCAAAAACATGCAACTCAGAAAAATTTCCGCTGTAGATTTTGCGTTTTTTGTAATTTTCTCAGTTGCTAAAAGGAATATCTAGATTTTTATTTCAGAATAGGAGGTTTTGAGGCAAGCAAAAATTTTTATAAAGAATGACTTTTTTGCGTAAAGTTAAAATTAAAATTTTTTCCCTCTTGTTCAGTCCATCCGGGGACACACTGTATAAGTGCAAATCGAACAAGCTACCTTTTCACATGTTGCTTATATTTAGCTAATTTTTGTTATGTCTCTCTGGGGTAGTTTGTACAATGAATAATTTCAATTTAGATAAACACATTAACAAACACATCACCAGCTTTGGAACAATACAACTCGGTCCCTCCTGTTACTTTGGAAAAGCAAGAGACTCATACTCAACAACTGCAAAGTTATCCAAACGATGTCATGATTCATCCCGTGGAAGTGTATGCAGCTCAACAGCAACAGTCTTCATATCCAATCGAAGTAAAAACGGAAAAATCTATCAAAAAACTTAATCAGATGCCGATAACATCTGTGTATAATCGATCCAGCGATAATACGATGTATCAGAATTATGGTGTTCCAGATGTGTGCGCGATAGACAATAGAATGCAATGTAAGTATATCACTTCATCTCCTTTTGATGCTAAGGTAGTAACATTTCAGTATCACCGCAGCAAACGTTCAAACTCCCACAATCATCCAGTGCATCTCAAAGCACTTCCAGGGGTTACAAGTTCTCTTCACCTGCGTCTACAACACCAAACCTGAAATTTTCATCGCAAAATTCGTCTAATTTTAAAGCTACATCACGACCTCATCAAAACACAGCATCTTCGTTAATTGCAAGCGGTTCAACGATCGATAGTGCATTATTGGTAAGGTTGAGTACTAACTATGAATTGTTAATTTTTATTTGCACACAGCCAGAAATAAAAACAGAAAATCGTATTAGGTCGACGCATAAAAGTGACAGAAGACGGTCATCGTCCGTATCACGTGAAACTGTTAAACGACCCCCCCTTCTAAGTGCCATGAGTGATCCCCAGTTAGTTACGCCAGCTAATAGTATGCTACTTACACAGTTATTAACCAATAGTAAGTCGATCAGTTTTATAAATTTTTTTGCAAAATTTTGCTTTTGCAGGCGCGCCAAATAATTTATTCGCTCCAAGTCATAATCTATCCGACCCGTTGTCGCTACAAGGTACAAGTATACATATAAAGGAGGAAAATGCATCAATGTCAATTGTGTCACAAGCACAAACAGCTACATTACTCATAACTCCTTTATCAATGAATTCATCTCAGTCTTCCATTAGTGATTCGGTAAGGATTAATTAGTAGGAGACACCATTAATTTGACATGAAATTTACGCAGATTATATTAACCTCGTTAACTCCGTCAAACTCACCAAGTCCCGGCAGTTCGCAGGGAATAGGATCCTGTCCGACATCACCACAAGGTGCCTTACGTTCATCCACACCAGACTCGGTTCACAAAGATCAGCGTCGAGTGGGACATATCCATGCGGAACAAAAACGAAGATATAATATTAAAAACGGTTTTGATGTGATACATTCGCTTATTCCTCATCTAAATCAAAATCCTAATGCCAAGGTATGTATTACAAATTGCTGACAAATTAGACCACCACTGGTAGTAATTAAATGATCACGTTCTTTCGCTTGCGGGTTTTTGAGGTTGAAAGGATAGTAGATCGGTATCATCTCTGCCAAAGAAATGTATGGTGTATCGGTAAGCTCAAGAACGTGGCTCTGGTAAATCCCAGGTTGGCAACACAAATAAAATACTATAATTGTTCACCACGGACCTCAGGGTATACATAAAAACAAAATAAAATTGCCACATCATTAGTTTCAAGGGTACATTTTGTTGACCATTTTTGTTCAGTTTCAGATCTCTCTAGGCCCTTTGTAGAATTTTCTATGCTCAGATCTCTTTGCTCAACTCAAAAAAATTAGAGGGTGATAGAATGCGCTATAAGGCTCTGACTGGCTCTACAAAACTCTGCAAAGTACATACAAATATTTAGCAAGGTACTGGAAATTCGGGACGCAACCCAGAAAATTTTGAAAAGCCTCAAACTCAAAAAATGAAAATTTGTTGATGCATTGATCAGTACTACTACTAATACGATCTATGGTTAAAACTTCAAAGAAATGTCTCCATAAACATGAAAATTGGTATTGCGGAGTTTGCGCATGCACACCCCTAATTTTTACAATATGTGACATGCTTGCCTCCAGTAGAAGCATTTGTGGTTAAAACTTTGAGAATGGCAGCATTGCGCAGTCTGCGCATGCGCACACCTGATGTTTACAACAATATGCAACATGTTTGCCTGTACAAGAAGCATCTTTGGTTAAAAATGCATGCGCACATGAATCGTCAATATTTGGCAGGTCCCACAAGCCAGCAGAGCCATTTTAGAAAAATGATGGACGAAATACATCAGAATTATAGGCCCTTTTTAGACACTTGAATAAATTTTCAGGCGGCATCCTTTAAAGAAAAAAACTATGGCTCTGCTGACTAAAGACGAAGCTAGCTGACCACTTGTGAGATTTGCTTCGAAGACGAAAAATTCAGATCACACATTATAGGCTATTTATAGACCTATTTTAGATAAGCAGATAGTACTCTCACCAGCAACAAAAAAAACTTAAGTGTCTGCTTGCTTCAGATTGACAGCTACCTAGGAATTTACGTCTACGGCGAATAATTCCCAATACTATAGGCTTATTATAGATCCTTCAAAGGTACCAATCTTTTTAATCCTAACAAACATTGTTTCATCAATGAGATCAGTTTAATTTTCCCCCTCTCAGAGATATAGTGGATAAATAAAAATTATTCATTTATTGTCTATTTATTGTTCCTCTCTTGTTCTGAGCCCTCAACGGGCTTTTGCCCAATTAATATATTTATTTAAACTCTAACTTATATTGCAGACTGCGCAATGCAAATTCTTATTTATGGAGATATTTCTTTGAAATTTTAACAAAAGATACTTATACCTAGTAAAAACAAACGTATTGCATATTGTAAATATCAGATTAATAAGCGCATGCGCAGGACGCGCAATATCAACTGCGCAGTAAGTGTCAAATTCATTATTTATGAAGATATTTCTTTAAAATTTTAACCATATATGCCTCTAGTAATGAAAAACAGCGCACATAGGTATGGCCTTTGGGGAAGTATTGATCAATTTATGGAAAATGCGCTGAAGTTACTCGCCTTAGGGCGAAAACCTTTTTACTTGTTTATTCAAGTATCTTATCAGTAAAAAAACTGCGTTCAGTTATTTTCATAATTTGTTAAAAGAGCATTTTGATGCACTTGTGCAATTACCTACGAAAATTGTCACAAAGCAATGTTTTAATATCGATCCTCAAGATGGTTTATAGTTTTGTATCTATTGCTGTCTGCCGGTTTAGTGTGTTGTCACTTCACTCAACGAAACCATGCGTATTGTATGCAAAAAAATCCCCTGAATCCGTAAATGACAGTCTAGCTGACCGGAAACTCCGGGAACATATTGCTATACACAAGAAAACGAAGAAAAAATGAGAAAATGTCGTTTTTTCGCATTTGACTTAATTAGGTATCTCGTTAACTATTCCTCTTACGGAAAAAATGAAGAGAACGAATTTGTTTAGAATCGATTTTTCTATCAGATACAGTTGGTATGATTTTTATTAAACAGAGTGCCAAGGGCCTATTATAAAGTTACTTTCTTGTTCTATTTCTGGGGTTTCCACTAAACTAATTCCACAGTCTGTCGATTTGCAAAACTCATCAGGACAACAGACAATTGTTGAAATACGTTGTTTTACGGTTCCACCATCCATAAAAATATTGAAAAAGCTCTGGGAGTCATCCAGTTTGAAAGACAAAGCATCGAGAAGGGCGTATCAACAAATGTTAATTTTTGGGATTACTTTTTTTGTATTTTTCCAGAAAAAACAATAACATTTAAAAATGAACGGTTCTGTACCAACTGAAAATTCGATTCTAAACAAATTCATTTCAATGAGCTCGAGCAATAGTTGAGATAATTGGAACTCAAATGCGGAAAAAACTGCATTTTTCCATTTTTTCTTGGTTTTTTTGTGTATAGCAATATGTTCCGGGAGCTTCCGGGCAGGGAACTACATAGAATACTCTTGGTTTCGTTGTGTGAAATGGCAACATCCACTTTAGAATACTTTTGGAGCTAATTTGACTGTACTATGTTGACCCTACACATTGACATAAAATAAATAAAGTTCGTTAAGTACTCCCTCCCCTAATCAAAAAATGTTGTGATGGTATTATCACAGATACATATAGGTAGGCAAGGCCGTGCGAGGGGAAGGGGTGAGGGGGGCCCAGGCCCTGGACGCCAAGTCTGGGGGGCGCTGAAGTCGCCTTCGTCGGGAGCGTCAAAGGCGTGAGTGAAAGATTTACCTCGAATTATATAAACGAATCCGTACATACTATTGTTTCGTATTTTATAAATTCAGAATCAGTAAAAATTTAAAAATTAAAAACTGTCGCGTTTATAAAGTCGGTAATTCCATGGAGTTAGGAAATCAAACAAAAGCGCCTGCATTTGCCATGTTTGATCTCAAATTGCCATGGCACCACTGATTTTCTTAAAAGCGCCAGGTTTAATTATCCAATTTCTTGGATTCAAAGTTCAAAAAATTAAAAGCCATAGTATGAATGGATTCGTAATTTTTTTCTCTACCAAAAACCTAAATAGACTTTCTCTCTAAAATAATTAGAGAAGTCAATAATCAGAAATGAAAAAATTACTATTTCAATTCCTATGGTGCGTTGTTCAAGTCACCACCCGGTATAATAATATATTTATTATGGAAAAACAAAATTATGTTTATTATTCTAATAAAACAAACCCACTCCATCAATTTTTTTAATGTTTAGAAAAGGGAAAAATGAAGAATTAAAATGTATCCTACTTCATGTAATTTATAGTGTTATACAACTGAAGTAATTGAAATAAGGTTTGAGTATATGTATTTTATTTTTACAAAACTGACTCCATCTATTACACACTTTCACCACACACAACAGTTTTCTGTGCGTCTACCACATTTTACGACAAATTATTTCGATTGCTTCAAGGTAGACAACACACTAACCGTACTCTATTAGGTGTTGCGTTTATTTCTATAGCATTGCATTGACCGTCTGTGGTATATGTTGTCTGTGTCCATAGACAGCAATACCCCTATATTTTTTTAGTTTTTTAATTTTTTTAAATCTTATTTGAAATTATAGCGTAGTGCAAGGGTGCACCATGCTAATATTATTCAACAACATTCTATTTTTGCGAGCGATATAAAAAAATATAGTTAATTTCTGCCAAATGAAATGTTGTATTTGAAAATCTCTAAATGCTGTCTTGTAAAGCTCAAATAGTGGCAAAGACAGTGTTTTTAATTTTTCTGTATGTGTTCAAATGACACCACAAAAAAATAACATAATTGGCAAATTTCGATTTTCCCCTTTTTAGCCTTTAATTGCGCAACTTTTGCTTAATTTGACCACCGTCGTATCTTCTATGGCTTCCGAGATCCCCAGGATAGACATCCTTATCTTGGACAGAGTGTATAACACAAATTGAATTGTCCGCAGAGGTAAATTTCTTATTTCTGGGCAGATCTTATTAAACTTTCAACAGTAGAGTAGCACCTTTTGGTAAAAGTCAACCGATCGATTGTATTTAACTTGTGAAAAGCTGCGCACACGCGGATGCGCAGAAGTAAATTTCTTGTGTTCGGACTGATTTTACCGAAATTTTAACAGTAGCACTTTTTAATAAAGGCAAATAAATCGATCGATTGTATTAACATGTGAAAATCTGCGCGATAAATTTCTTATTCATGAGTTGATCTTCAAAATTTCAACAGAAGCAATTTGAACATGTAAGTATATCAAAAATTGCCACATGGATTAGGTACTTGACTCAATAAAAGGCGAAGGCGATGAGGTGTCTTCTGCTACTGGAGTCGGTTTCGCATTGACAAATTCTCATGCGTCGCTTTTTATCAGTAGAGCTTCCATCTGCATCTTCCACATGTAGTTGTTTTTGTTTAATGTTTCCATTCTCTCCATATGTCCGGCACTCATTTTGCACACACTAAACAGATAAAGTTCGGGAGTCGCGCTAATACAGAACTGATCGCTATTTTGTTGTCACATATGTACTGGGCCGCATAACATGTTATAGGATCGGATCAACAAAAATAACGACCTGTAAGTAATACATTTAATGTATACAAAAGAACAATCATAAGACTAACTAACTTATTGTGAACTAACCAACTGATGACGTGTGACGTTTGGTAATCTAAAGTGTTTATAAGAGAAACTGGTACCTACACCAATTCTTGATAACACACATGATGTCAACGTCTCTAGAAATTAGAAATATTTCAAGTTCATCAAACTTATTAAACAGACTTTGCACATTTTAATGAGCAATGTTTAAATGCACTTTATCAAAACTATGTATTAAACTTAGGTCACAAGGGTTATACTTCTGCAGGCCACAAATCTTCTCATCTTCTTTATGATGGATATTCTAACAGTAAACATTTCCGTTCCGGGATATCAATTTAATTATTTCGACGTTGGTAATTTTATTTTCCTTCAGGTGACTCTTTACATCTACACATATTAAAGTAATTTTGCTCAATTTTAAATACTACATGCAGGTAGAGAAAACCAGTTTGCGTTTTAGTTCTGCACAAATTCTTCATCCCAAAAATTGCGGGGTGAATAGTGGTAATGTGCTATGTAGATGTTTAGAGCCACACAACTTTTTTACATGTGTTGAAATTGGGAACATTTTCAGTTAAGCAAAGCTGCGATGTTGCAAAAGGGAGCGGAGTATATTCGGCAATTGCAGCAGGAACGTAGCCAATTAAAGGACGAAATGGATAGTTTACGACAACAAATAGAATCGCTCAACACCTCAATCAGGTAAGTACTCGTCGGACTCACGTTGGGCGCCAAAGACATTATTGTTGTGTGTCCAATATACTTTGTCTATAAAAAATTAACGAAATTACCTTTTTAAAAATACACTCTAGAATTGATCTTACATTCAAACAAACTTTGAGACAGAAACAAGGGATTTTGTTAAAAAAAATCGTTTATGCATACATTGCGAAATATAGTCTTATCTTGGTCCATTTTTCTTAAAAATTGCAACGGTACTGTAGCGAATATTCTAGAAATCCAGAGGCGTCATGAAAAATTAGTAATCGGTGATAAAGAATGAACGCGACTGTAATCTTTCCGGGAAATATGATGTGTTTTGTCCGAGAATGTTCGATAACATTCGAGAGCACTCGAGTTTCCTATACTTATAAGCAAATCCAATTACGTTTCAGGCCAGTTCCAATTTCAACGACGGAGTAATAAATAGTTCGCGCTGTTATAATATGTCCACTTCTGAAAATTTGCATTTTCAAAATTTGTAGTCATGCTTTAGAAAGCAAATTTCTCAGAAAAAGCTTCATTTTTTACACTTGCACCGTTTTTTTCGCGCTTTCAATTTAGTAAAAGTTTCTAGGGAATGTCATGTCGAGCATAAGAAACAAAGCTCTGCCAGAGCAATCTGCTGTTGTGTCGTTTTTTTTAAATTGTACTCTATAGATATACCATTCCATGCAAATGTTTGGAGAACTGGGTCAAAACTTACACATCTGTCCTAAAGCGCCACAGTGGCCACTAATACATCTAAATTAACTCCTTTTAAATATTGACGTGCAGAACCATGGTTAAACCTATTTTAGGTCAACTGTTCACAAGTTTCTTTTCAAATTTTAACAAAAAAATTATGTGATTGGTTGCACAACAATATATTAACGTCATTCATACGATTTCACATTTTCTTTTCAGTAATTGTCAGTCATTGTTACCAGCAACCGGCGCTCCAGTTTCTAGGAGAAGAGACAGTAAAATGCAAGAAATGTTTGATGACTATGTCCAAAAACGCACAATGGAAGATTGGAAGTTTTGGATTGTATCCTTTTTTAATTTCAGTCAGATTGACAGAGATATACAGTACTTGTTAGTCAATACCACCATCTCACTATTCAAATCTGCCCACATGTTTTCTCATATGGTTCCTATAAGGGACTTGATAAATCATTACATTTAACATTCTAGTGTAGGAGAATATACATTTTCAACAAAGGCGTACACTTTGAGTACTTAACATACATCACAGTTTAGCTTATTATTTCGGCCTCTGCTCAGCTCCTTTAATAATTTCGTATCAACGTCCAGCTTAGAAGAATTATATCGTTCGACATTACATTGGGTGGAGCAGCATTGTACCTTAGTCGACCTTAGACCAGGTACGTTACATCTTTCTATTTTACCATTCGATTCAATTGTCTGTTTTGCAGTGGTTTTGAATTCGTTGCGATATTTAAGTACAAAAACCGATATCCTATCAGAACCGGAAAATTTGCCGGAAGAGGCGAGGCGGGCAGCTATGTCAGCATTGAATAAGACTCAACTCTAATATTATTATGCTCAATATTTTGTTCGTGATATGAAAGTGCAAAGCTAATATATTTTTTTAAATCTATTATAATGTGTGTAGCAACAAGTGATGTATCAAATGTGTATATTAGGTTCAGGTATTTTAGATAACGTCATTCTGAATGATCTTCTATTTGGTTAATAACACAATTTTTAATACAAAAGTGAAGGATAAGTTATACTAATCCTTTCTTATTATTGCCATTTAAATAAGTGCAATGCAAGCAACTGCCTTACCAATCTTCATCTATCATTATCGTATTGCATTTAAATTTCATCGGTCATTTTCAGAGATATTCAAAATATTCTGCTTGCCTTTCTAACTTGCCTATATATTTAGACAGAGTATTTTTAATATTTTACGAAAATGTTGTACTGTTAGGAATCTTTTTATACAATGTCACTAGGGTCCCTTTGTAATTCTATTTGTACCGACAAAATTAGATAAGTTGCGTGTAGTGCCTTATGAATTAACCGTGATAATTTTTTTAATTTGTAAATTATGTTTATACCATATACATGTATGTACATTATAAGGGTACTTATATATTTTAATTACTGATCACTTTGTATATAAGTATATATTCCTTATGTTAATTCTAATTTGATGTTTCATAAAGTAACTTATGTACCTCTTTAATAAAGTTTGTTTTCGTTTGAAATGTATTTTGTATTGATGGTTCACTTACAATGTCTGTTTCTTAGGGGGACTGGTAGCGCAAATTGGGTCCAACTGGCATATCTTTAGGTGCCGGATTGTCGTAACGGCTTCATCTGCTCAAATTTTACGTGAAAGTCACTGAAGTAAACAAAATGTGGCTGTGTTTAACCGTTTGGTTGCAGGAGGCTTTCTCAAAGTGAGTCAATTTGTTGATGGCGCATACGAATCAACAAATTTCATCTCCAGACGCACATAACCTACAAATAATTGAAGGTTGGTTCACAATGAATTGTCGGATCATCGCGTGCCCTGCGTGGTCAAGTTATTGTAAGTTCCATGGCTTCTTTAAAAAAAATCTTATGCCGAGTGCATCAAGACTGCTGTTCATAATCACGCAAGTTGACCGTTTTACTCGTGTGAATGTGAACCGCGCACACCTCAGATTGATGTATCTTTTTAATAGTGAAATTACCTTGCATACAAGATCGTATCATTAAATTTATATAAATTCAATGATCGTATGTTCACATTAAAAAAAACTCACTGTATATGGTTGTTGTTTTTAAAAACCTCCGACTCCTACGAAAGACTATATATTTAAAACAACTCTGGAGCCACTTCCATACATAACGATTGACAGTTCTTCGGCCTTCTTCTTTTTCTCTAACCTAAAAAATCTTTCAGTCCCCTTCTACGATCCCCTTAAATCGTGGCAAAGGTGGCATATGTAAATGAAACTATATTTATTTTGTTCAAGACTGTATAGATTAAGTGACATTACATGTGCTAAACCAAGTCTTTGTACTGATTTACTGCACTCCGGTAATAATTGTAGAAGTGTCCATTTTACGTCTATTGTTAATAGTAAGTGGGGTACTAACAAAAAACATCGTAATATTCCCTTGCAAATATTCGCGGAAAGAATGGCGGATCCTAAAGTTGAAGAAATTTTGGCACCCTTACGATCAAGTGTTAAACAACAGGTAATTTCGCTCCGAGTGTATGTGCGTTTAATTAACTCATATTTTGTAGGGCGATCTCATTCGTCAGCTAAAAGCAGACGGAGCACCCGAATTGGACATTAAGCATGCAGTCGCCGAGCTAAAACTAAGGAAAAAGGTTTTGGAGGATAAAGAGTTGAGCTTGGCGCCTAGTTTCGCCACTTTTGACAGGGCCAAGATGGAAGATTTGTTGAAACGTCGATTCTTTTACGACCAATCGTTTGCTATATACGGCGGTATAACTGGACAATACGATTTTGGCCCCATGGGTTGTGCATTTAAAGCCAACTTATTGCACACGTGGAGGCAATTTTTTGTATTGGAAGAACAAATGTTGGAAGTCGACTGCTCAATTTTAACTCCGGAGCCAGTTTTAAAGTAAACCGCGAAATTATTTTTTTAAATTGACATCTCCACTTTTCAGGGCATCAGGACATGTAGAACGATTCGCAGATCTTATGACAAAAGACGTCATGACCGGTGAATGCTTCCGTTTGGATCACCTAATTAAAGCACATCTGGAGAAACTGGAGTTGGATAAGAAAACTTCGGACAGTATCAAAGCCGAATGTAGGGATATTGTTATAAAGGTATCTATGAGAAGTTTGCTCTTTCAATCCTATACCGTTAACTTTGTAGCTTGATGGAATGACTAAGGAAGAGATGCATGCCGTTATGAAGAAGTTTAATATGAAAAGTCCTTTAACTGGAAATCCATTGACCGAACCAATCGAATTTAACTTAATGTTTGCGACCCAAATTGGTCCTTCTGGTTTGATTAAAGGGTAGGTTAATAGAGAAGGTAGGAAAAGTGTTAAATAAAAAGCTGCCATCAAACACAGTTCTCCCCTACAATTATTCGAGTGTAACAAAGCATCAAAGTATTAAAACACTTGTATAATCGCATAGACGAAATGTCAATTATTTTCTTATCTAAACTTTAAACACATGTCCTTTTTACATGAAAATAAAACCTAACAAATAATTTCTAAAGGTAAGAAAATTCTCTGCAACTTTATCATCTTTCAATGTTTTGATCAAATTAAATAAAAGCAAGAAATTCATGTTATTAGTAATGGTGAACCATTTGTAGCGTAATCGCTATTTCTGATAAAAATAAAATAATTACACAGGTTAAAATTATGCGTGTTATCACAGCACTAGTTACCAATTTTGTTACGGGAATGGTTAAGAACTAGTCTTAGAGAGATGTGGAGACTTTACATTACATTACATTCTAGAATAATATTTTTAATCATTGATTAACCTTAATTGTTTTGTGAAACCGGACATTAGGTATTTTAAACTTTTGCAATGCAATAGTTTTATTCAAAGACATTTTCAGTGAAGATATTTTTATTTGCAGATTTTTAAGGCCAGAAACAGCTCAAGGAATTTTCGTGAATTTTAAACGTCTTTTGGAATTTAATCAAGGGCGACTGCCCTTCGCGGCCGCGCAAATCGGTAACTCTTTTCGTAACGAAATCTCGCCTCGTTCTGGGTTAATACGAGTTCGCGAGTTCACCATGGCCGAAATTGAACACTTTTGCGATCCGAACGATAAGCAACATCCCAAATTCGAAGATGTGAAGGATGTGGAACTGCTGTTGTATTCCGCTTGCAACCAGATGGACGGGAAGGGTGCCGAACGTAAGAGTATCGGCGAGGCTGTTGGAAAGGTGAATATTGTAATGACTCTTGTATGTTATAAAATTGTATATTTGTAAAGGGCTTGGTGGCGAATGAAACTTTAGGCTACTTTATGGTGAGAATTCAACAATTCTTAATTCGCTGTGGAGTTGATCCGACCAAATTGCGGTTTCGTCAGCATATGTCTAACGAAATGGCTCATTACGCACAAGATTGTTGGGATGCTGAATGCCTTACCAGCTACGTAAGCATTTCTTTAATGTTAGCAATTACACCCGATTTAAATATAATTTATAGGGCTGGGTGGAGTGTGTGGGATGTGCCGACAGATCTGCTTATGACTTAACCCAGCACACTAAAGCGACAGGGGTGCGTTTAGCTGCCGAAAAGAAAACTGAACCAAGAACTGTAGATGTTGTTGAAGCTGTTCCTAATAAAGCAATGATAGGTAAAAAATTTAAAAAGGAAGCTAAGGCAATATACGATAAACTAGCTGAATTGGATGCGAATGATGTTACTGACTTAGAACAAAAATTGGAGACGATTGGGTAAATCAATTAAATAGGTTCATGAAGCCGGAAGGGTGGCATAGTAACTATTATTTTTACGCACTTTAATTACTTTGATATGACAGACAAGAATATAAGCAAACACACTCTTTATTTATAATGCAAGTACAAAACTAAAACCGACATCGTTATCTCAAAGCAAAAAGGTACATCTTAACCACAGAACAAGTGATCTTAACTACTTTCATTATATACAGGATGCTCTACAAGTAAACATTGGATTACAATACTTATAATACCACCTCTTAATACAATGTTTAATTTAAATTAAATTGTTCAATACATAAACGATGTTTGTCACTTGGCAAACCTTTGGTCAAAACATCAGCTATCATTTTATCAGTTGGTACATAATCTACTTTGACAATGCCTTTATTTATAATTTCGCGTATGTAATGATACTTAGTATCAATATGTTTAGTTCGACTATGATAGACAGGGTTCTTGATAAGCTTTTGAGCACTCTGACTATCATTGTAAATAATGAAAGGTTTTTCAACAGTTAAAATCTCACCAATAAGACCCTTAATAAAAACAGCTTCTTTTACTGCTTCAGTCATTGCTATGTATTCTGCTTCAGTACTTGAGAGAGCTACACAACTTTGTTTTTTAGATTCCTAAGATACGGCAGCATTAGCCCATTTAAAAACATAGCCTGTATATGACTTTCTATCATTTACATCATTTGAGAAGTCTGCATCTACATAACCTGTGATTGGTTTATTTGATTTACAAAAAACTAAACTTTTATGCATACTTCCTTTTAAATATTTTAGCACACGTTTTGCATGTTTCCAATGCTCCATATCAAATGTTGAATTAAATTGACTTAAGTAACTTATACTGTAAGCAATATCAGGTCTTGTATGAACTGCTAGATACATTAGTGAGCCGATTAAGTTCTGATATGGGACATTAGGTTTCTCATTATGATTTGGTTTCAACCTTAATCCAATTTCAATTGGTGTGTTAACAGGTTTAGCATCTGTTAAGTGAAATTTTTTCAGTAGTTCTAAAATATAATCTTTTTGATTTACTCGAATTACGTTACTGATTTTACAATGAACATTCAGACCAAGAAAATGATTTATTAACCCTAAATCTTTTAACTTAAACTCTTTTGATAAATCTTGTTTTACATCCTCCTTTAAACTTGAAGAACTTGAGCAAATCAAGAAATCATCTACATATAGTGCAATTATTACAATGGAACTATCAACAATTTTAAAGAATATACACGGTTCGTAAGCAGATTGCTTAAAATTCATTTTGACTAATACTTTTTCAACTTTTAAGTTCCATATTCTTGACGACTGCTTAAGACCATATATAGCCTTTTTAAGTAAACATACCTTATTTGGGTCTTTCTTGCAAACAAAACCTTCAGGCTGTGCCATATAGATCTGCTGGTCTATATTGCCATTGAGAAAAGCAGTTTCTACATCTAAATGATAAATTAGAAGATTTAAATTTACAGCCATTGAAAATAAAATTCTTATCGTTGCATTTCTGACAACTGGAGAAAAAGTCTCTAAATAGTCAATACCATATTGTTGAGTAAATCCTTTAGCCACTAAACGCGCTTTATACCGCACACCACTAGAGGCCTTTTTTACACAAAACACCCACTTATTTTGCACAATTGTTTTATCTTCCGGGCAATCCACGAGTGTCCATGCTTGGTTTTTGATCAAGGATTCATACTCTCTTTCCATGGCGTTCTTCCACTTCAGGTGATCAGGTCGCGACATGGCTTCATTTACGGACTTCGGATCATAGGATTCCATTTCTGGCATGATGTTGTCAAAAACGTTGTATGTGACGTAGTCCTTAAAACATTTTTTCTTCGATATTCTTCCTGCTCTAGTGACTATCTGGGTTTCGGTGTCTTTCGCGACTTCCTTCGCATTTCCGTCATCTCCCTCTTCCCCATCACTTGTGTCATCCAAAAATTCAACAGGTATTGTCTCCTCATCTTTTATTTCCACCTCTGCATCTTCTGTTTCCATTATCTTTTGTATATTCTGTTCTGGTTCCTTAGTTTCCCTCAAATCATTATTCGATTGATACATTACTGTCGTTGTTTGTGAGTTGCAGCCTTTGACCTCTTGAAATGGCTCATTTAAATATTCATTAAACTTGACGGTACGACTGATTGTCACCTTGTCTGTGATTGGATCTAGTATTCGGTAGCCTTTACTGGTGTCACTGTATCCGATCATTATTCCCTCTTTAGCCTTTGGTTCTAACTTTGACCTCTTTTGCTTTGGGACATAAATGAAAGCTCGACTCCCAAACGTAACTAAATGTTCTAAGTTAGGTTTTTTACCAACCCACAATTCATACGGCGTTTTATCTTTAGCTTGAGTTGGGAACCTATTCGTTAAATAATTTGCAGTTACTACCGATTCACCCCAATATTTATAAGGTAACTTGGCATCCAGAAGCATGCAACGTGCTGACTCTACCAACGTTCTATTTTTTCGCTCAGAGACCCCATTTTGTTCGGGACAATAGGGTACGGTTGACTGGAATTGTATTCCATTTCTCTTTAAAACTGATTGAACTGCCTCCCCCGTGTACTCTCCGCCATTATCTGACCTCAGAACCTTTGGATATTTTCCAAATTGATTTTTAACTTCAGCAAGAAATTCTTTAAGTTTTACAGCTACCTCATCTTTGGAAGCTAACAGGTAGATTTTTGTATATCTGGAGTAGTCATCAATAAATGATACAAAATAAAATTTCCCACTCACAGTTGCAGTTTTCATAGGCCCACATACATCGCTGTGTATTAAATCAAGAACTTGCTTGGATCTCGTTTCCGATTTATGAGGAAACGGCTTCCTCGTGAGTTTACCCTCTATACATGCCGTACATTTCTTAACATTTTTACATTTACTTATTTCTATGCCAATTGCTAAATCCCCTTCTAACAATTTATTGATGCCATCCGGGCTCTTATGGCCGAACCTGCGATGCCAAATATGTATGCATTTCTCTTTTTCACAGGATGTAAAGGTTAAACATGCCTTATCCTTAAACATATCTATCTTGTATAAACCGTTTATACATTCAGCAGTTAACACAATCATTCCATCTTTCTCTACTACAGTTCAAACCATTAAAGTTCATTTTATAACCGACTTTAGTTATTTTCGACACAGACAACAGATTATTTTCTAATGTAGGTACATACAGCACATTAGAAAACTTTAAACTTCTTAATTCGCCATTTACAACACTTTTTAAGTAAATGCTCCCTTTACCCTTAACTGCCATGTGTTGTCCATTAGCAACCGTTATTTTTTCCGATTCAGTACATTCAAAATTTTTGAAACTGTTTAAATCGTTACACATATGGCTAGTAGCCCCTGAGTCTATGTACCACTCAGGCTCACTCACAGTGCCTTTACTGCCAAAAGTATTAAAGCAAAAATTTGAATCAGACTCACCCTCATCGACTGCTAGTTTGGCTTGTTGACCTTCTTTTTTCTTGTCCTTTTTGTAGAAATAGCAATCCTTTTTGTAATGCCCCTTCCTGTGACAATGAAAACATTCCCGCATCTGCTTGGCTTTACTGTCATTCCCCTTAAACTTTGTGTTGAGAGCTCGTTCACTGGAAGTACTATCTTCTCTCCGTTTATATTCGTCCATCAATTTCCCCTTTACGTACTCCAATGTTAACTCTTCATCGGGTCTTGTATCTAGTGCAGTAACCAATGTGGAATAATTTTCGGGCAATCCTCCAAGTAACAATGCTGCTACATGAAAATCCTTTACGATCTCCCCGACTCCACGTAGTTTCTCCACTAACTCCAAGCTGTCCTTAATATACTCGGACATTGATTTATTCTCCAGCTTAGATTGATACAACTTCCTTAACAAATACAGCTTATTACTTAAGTTGTTTCTTTCGTGCACCTTCTGTAGGGATTCCCACATCTCCTTTGCAGATCCGCTTTTACAGATGTGAATTATTTGATTGTCCTCCGCACTTAAAGATATAGTTGCTTGTGCCTTTTGGTCCTTTTTACTCCATTCCACAGTTACCGGTGCTGCCGGTAATGGATCCTCAATCACTGACCAATTTCCTTCACGGACCAGAACCATCTTCACACGAAACTTCCAATTTTGGTAGTTATTGTTATCCAACCTGGAAAACATAAACTTTACGTTCTCCGAATCCATTATGTACTTGCACGTGGTGTTGAGGTTAGGTACTTAGTTCTATTCTTTCTTTCTTTATACTTTACGCCTATCTGGGCCCATAACCTATTATTTTTACGCACTTTAATTACTTTGATATGACAGACAAGAATATAAGCAAACACACTCTTTATTTGTAATGCAAGTACAAAACTAAAACCGACATCGTTATCTCAAAGCAAAAAGGTACATCTTAACCACAGAACAAGTGATCTTAACTACTTTCATTATATACAGGATGCTCTACAAGTAAACATTGGATTACAATACTTATAATAGTAACCTTACAGTTTCAAACCGTTGTATTAATGAAAAACTTGAATGTATTTGATACTTTACACAAAATTGACCAATGAAAGGCTTTTAAGGTATTTGGAAAGGGGTATAAACACGTAACTTGCCACTACAATTGTAGCGCCACGAAATGTTTTGTACCTTGGACCACAACGCTTTGCAGTAACAATTGATTTAATCAAATAATGCCAACGCTTCGCAATATTCCCTGCTACTAGACGAAAAAGTTCCGCTTTTTCTTAACTCCGCAATTTTATATTGGTTAACTCATAATAGAGACTCGTAATGAATTTAAAAAGAAATGGTTATTGAGTTTATTAAATTTACTTTGTTCTATAAGTTATCGGTTTCATCGGGCTGTAGCTAGATGTGCCTATGAGCTGCTATTTGTGAAATGTGCATTATTGTGAATGGTCTGAATACCTTTCCCCCCTCTTTTCTTTTTTTATTGCTTCTAAAAGGTGTCTTTGGCTCGTATCCTTTGTGGGAAGCTTTCACAAACGCACGTGGTTTAGAGTAGGTATGCTGCCAAATCTGTTCTACTTTTTAATCGCAATATTGATTGAAGTTTTGAATGAATGCACCGAAGGGTAGAAGATTTAAATACCTACCTTTGACATTTCCTTCATATATGACAGCATGAGCGAGGCATTTAAGACCTTGTTTGAAAGATGCTTCCTATTATCCACGCCAACAGTTTTTGATATAATCTTTATGCATTTGGATTTTACAGGTTCTTCTGCTGCAGCAATAAGCCACTGAATAGAGGGTGTATTGTTTTCTTCAACCGAAGTTATTTTATTTATTTCATACTATCTAGTAATCGCCGCTTTCCCAGACTGATTTGAGTCTGGTAAATCGTATTTTACCAGACTGAAAATTTTTACCAGACTGGAAATTTTGCCTAGCAACCGCAACTGACATCCATCTAAACGTGATATTTGATTGATTGATTGATATTGATATTTGTCAAACTACTGTCAGATCAAACAAATCAAGTGATCGACTTTTGCTTTTATTTTAATGTGTACCTACAACATTCTAATACACAACCTCACTTTTATTACATTTAAACTATTAATTAACTACATTTACAGCATACCTGACAACTAATACACATATTATAGAACATCGTTTAAAATATTACATGCACCCTTCACTTCACCATATGACTCAGCCTGAAGATGACCTAATATAGGTTGAAATCGATAGCCGCATTAGTAAATATAAAAAACGTGTCTAAAAATGATTTTTTCTTTAATTCAAATCCTACAACATTCTAATCAAAATGGTATTTTAATAGAAATAGAGCAGTATGAAATAAAATGTTTTACATTATTTGTATGTTAAATCAGTTAACGTTACTCGTTTCGAAATTCCTCACATCTCACTCGTTAACGTAAACCTTGATTTACCATACTCATATGTAAATAACTATTACAGAGACGGTGATTTTTATTACACGCGAACGTCAAGTGACATTTCCTTGGCAATCATGGAATGACAAATAATCAGCCCACTTAATTAGAAATGTATTCGAGTATATGATTTCGTTTTATTTCCTTTATTTTTAAATTATATTGCAGGTATAATAAAAAATACTATAAGAAACGCGTGTATAATTGATCTTTAAAGCACGCGCAACGAGTTTAAGGACACGACGCGCAGCGGAGTGCCTTTAAACGTTGCAAGACTTGATTATAATACACTTGTTTCTTAATATACTATTAATAGCATGCCGCCCTTCCATGTCATAGAGCTCAAACAAATGAGCAGAGTACTGTAGCATACTTTGCAGGTCTTTAGAATTACATGTGGAGGATGAGAGTTATATGTTAACAAAGGATATGATGGCGATCAAACGGTATCAAAAAACTGTCCATGTCGAGGAAATTACTCCTAGTGTCATCGAACCTTCATTTGGTACGTAGTGATATTCTCCTCCTTTGAATTGATGAGTTCTTTCTCAGGCATTGGACGTATAATGTACGCAATATTCGAACACAATTTCAAAATGCGAGAGAACGACGAACAAAGAACTTACATTTCACTTCCTCCGGTTGTCGCGCCACTTAAATGTAGTGTTCTCCCTTTGAGTGGAAATGCGGAATTCCAACCGTTCGTTAAACAGTTGTGTAAGTAGTTTTGAAATGTCTAACGCTTTCCTTTAATTTCATATTTAAGCCACTGAATTGACGAAGGTAGATGTTTCCCATAAAGTTGATGATAGTTCAGGATCGATCGGTCGGCGTTACGCTCGCACTGACGAAATCGCAATTCCGTATGGTATTACCATAGATTTTGATACTCTTAAAGAACCACATAGCGCTACTTTGCGTGAAAGGGATTCAATGCAACAAGTTCGGATAGGGGTGAGTAGTCAAGTTGGGTGGTTGGTTTTGTTAATGTTTTGTTATGTTGCAGTTGTGCGAATTACCCAGTGTCGTTCACCAATTGTCATATAATAAAACGACGTGGGAGAAAGTAGCTGCAAAATATCCTAAATTCGAGCAACAGGAGAGCAAAACATAATTTTTAAGACACATACCAGTAGATTTTTATACAAGTATTACTGTATGAAGCTTCTCTAATAAGTAATGATGTACTGCAATTTTTTTTTTTCTTAATTGCTGTACTTATCCGTTGTTACAACTGAATCGACGGAGGAAGTACTTAAGGATAACACCACTCAGTTTATAAACATTTCTCCCAGGCTGTATAAAATATCATCCTGCTCCATACTTTTCCTACTCAGAGCCTCAATCTCCATCCCACGGCCATTGTTTAAATACGGCCGAATTTCTTCTTGAAAGTTGTTCCTACGTGGAAGCACAGAGAAAGATTTAGTACGTTGGGGCACTAACTCTTTCCCTTGAAACTATACTCAAATGCAAACTTAGTGAACTCAGCAAAATGAAACTTAAAACGAACAATTAATTATGTAGTTTGAAGTTGAGAGGTTCCACCCTCTATTTCTAAGCTACGAAGATGCGCACATTTTTGAGATCTGGCAACCGCGCGGCTTTTTAGAAGAAGGTTGATTGATTACATATAATATACGACGGAAGCTAAATTTATAATGTATTTGGTCATTCTCGAATCTCAACCATAGTGTTTGAGATACCGCACGAGGGACAAGTTACAAGTCGCAGGGATGGGACCCTGCCAACCAAAACTCTGCGGTTCAGGATCTATGTGCGATATGATTATTTCTACAATATTCTTTTTTGTTAACGTTGATTTTGCCTCCAAAGGTCATGTAATTTTCCATGTTACTTATTTGAACCCTTCAGTATATACGCCTATATAGTGTGGCGCACTTTTCGAATTTTCTTGTTGTATTGTGGTAAGTACCTTTACTAATGGAATCTTGGATTTAGATATGCCTTCTGATCTGACCTGTATTAGCAAGCTATAAACCATCCTGCACGATTTATGTGGCAATGGTTCGGTACTTCCCCCGAGTTTTGGTCAATCGCGGTCGATTCCACCATGGCGCATGCAGTTCACATTTAGAACGCGCATGGTAAAGCGACACGAGAACACGCCTCACGGTGGAAAAAAGTAGGGTAGAGTGTGGCCCAATCCTTGGCTTATGCTTTTCACCTTGGGATTTGTACAATCCTATAATCTTTTGATACCAATATATGTAGTTCCTCTGATGAGTACCTACTAGTTTTCTTTTATTACCAATTCATGTTCAGCGTTTTTATCTACCATAATCGCTTTTCTGTATATAAAGTGTACCTATTATAATAATGATATTTGCCAATTTGCGTATTATTGTAATCATAGTGATTATAAAATCACAATTAATTAGGTACAGGAAAGAAGGTTGATGCGGTCGATTCCACTTCCACCAAAGCGCGTGTGCTCACGTAAATCTGTAGAGCGCGTGTCTAAGTGTTTGATTGCTCTAAAGATGTTAAATATTTATCATGCTTTATTATATCAATCAAATTATTCTGCATTCAACACTGCAGGATATACATAGAGATAATAAAATCTAAATGCATCATACATATGTCAATATACAGTACAGGCTGTCATCAACAATACTGACGTGGTGCTACATGCGAATCATGGTACAATAAAAGACAGCGAATGATCCAAAATTTGACTGCCTCGCGTTTATTTCAAGGCCTACCTAAGAAAATTATGCATATATTACGGTCACCATTTAAAAAATCTTAAAGAAAACGAAATGATCGATGTAGAATTTTTTTCCACATTCGAAAGTGGTTTCATTTGAAGACAACTTTTTTAGGTTTGAAAGTTATTAAACTTGGCCATTAGTTTTACAACACCCTGTAGAAGGGCGATCAAAATTTAAATTATTCTCATGTAGCATCAATATTTCAGTAGTGTTGCTTTTGGAAGACTTTTTAAAATTCAAGTCGACGGAGCCATAGGTACAGCCGTACAGGGCGCTAAAGAAAAGCAGTGAAACGTCAAAAGTTTTTTGAAAAATCTCGAATAACTTGAAAACCTTTGATACTGGGTATAGGGAAAGGTGGTATCAAACGACGTAGATTTTTATGTAGATTTCGAAAATGCAATAAAATATAGGGTGTTCTATTTAAAATAAGAAAAGTTGCTATCCACATCCGGTAAAATCGGAAGTGAAATGATCCTAATATTATTTTCTTTCGATAGATCATAAAAAACTATGTAGGTCTGCAAATTTTCAGATTGAAATTATTAATGGGAGTCTAAATACTTTACTTTTAGGTAACGGTTTGCGTGAAACAGCCTGTATGATCTAATTGTACCTACCTACCTCAAAGCATTGGTGCCGTTGAAGTAACAATCTGTAATAAATACCACAAAAAAGATATAGGTATACTTATCTATTATAGTTGTTTATTTTTGTGGTTCATATTGCAGATTGTTTTTCATTTATTTTATTTTTCATTTATTATTTTGTAATTCGAATAATAGAGGTGTAAAAAATAGTTGTAAATATGACGATCTTGAACTAGTAGATACTATATACAAGCTAACATTTTTAGTAGGAATGCTCTTTTCGAAAATTATCAACTGCTTTTAATCAAATGCCATAAGTGCAGAATCGAATATTTAAAATCCTGCTGCAACTCCTAGAACTTTTAACTGATCCCCCCCAGCAAAATAGTTCTTTCTGTAATAACATGAGCTTATGCCAATAGATACACATAGATTACTTGTTGAACAGAAATTAACATCAACTTTAATTTTAAGAAATTTCAATGTGAAATTCTCACACAAAAAATGAATTAGGAGCAAATAGAAATATAATGCTAAATCTATTGGATTCGATAAAATTTCATTAGTTCATTTTTCTTGCCCGCATTTTGATTCTTTACAATTTGATTACGAGAAAAGTTTCACGTTTTCCCCCAAAGCGCTTGATACAATAGATATAGCAATTTATTTGTTTAATAAGAACCAGATCATGTAAGTCGCAGATCCTACTTATCTCGACCCATCAAATTTTTAATAATAAATGACTCCTTACAAGTGAGCAATAACACCATCCTACACCTGAAAAAACAAACTGTAGGTTTTATATGGGAAAATTAAGATAACATTTATGTTAACACTAAAGTATTTAATATAAATGATTGAAAATGCAGTTCTTATACAATTATTAGTACATAATCACATTGCATAACAAAACAATATCTAAAGATGTACAGTAGATGTGGACAATGGCGTAAATTGTATAGAGCAATAAGCACTTTCTTTTGGTCCATACAAAACAAAACATGACACCAGTTCAACCATGATTAAGAGGAAAAATTGAAGACGATAAAGAAAATGCTTCGAGATTTCAAATTCATATTAAGTTCGAGTAACTCAACTTTATTACTGACATAAATATATAAAGTACATTCCAAAATTGATCATATTTATGTTAATAATATACAATTGTCGTTGCTAACGCAGAAATATTGTATGAAAACAACTCAGTTACACTGTAACTAGTCACCTCTGCAACTGAAAAGTGATAACATAATATTAACGTAGCTTAATATGATTATTCAAGATCTGGAATAGGCTCATCGTCCGAATCCGCTCCCTCATCGTTCAAATCGTCGAAGTTTGGTTGTCCTCCACCACCACCTAAACCGCCCATTTGTTTCATCATTTCCTCAAAATCGCCGCCTCCCATGCCGTCGACACCTTCGTCGCCGGAATCATCCTCATCGCGCCACTTATTGAAGTCACATTTCAGCCAGTGATGCTTCTTTTTGTCTGACGTGAGTGAAGGCCAATATGGTTCGGAGGAGACTGCTTTTTCTAAGATGAATTCAATGTATCTAGCTCGGTTAAACGTTTTACTTTTTTCTACGTCAATTTCTCTATACAAGGGAATAGTTACTTCGTACAATTTCTTCTCCACCCCGCCGACACCTTTGAAGTATATGGAATCCTTATTTACTCTAAAATAGCGAAACGATAAAGTAATGGTATATTAAGGTAGCCAATTTAACGTACTTTATTTCGGGATCTTTTGTATCTTCTAAATTTATTGTTAAAAATACGACCGTCGATCTTTGTGCCCACATTACTGGAGGTGGAAGTGCTCTGAAATTGAGGTTAGAACAATTTAAAATTCATTTTCCTGATAGAATACGCCAAAAATGGATTAAGTATTGTTTTTATTTTCATTAGGAACCGCCGGTTTAATACCGAAGGAGAAATAATACAAAAATTCATGTTTGTTCTAGAATTTTCCAAGATCGATTTGCACATTAATGTTTTGTAGTAAACATGGCCGGATGTAACCCTAAATTTTCCTATTCAAAATTTATGACATTTTACATATATACATGTTTTACAATAAAGTAATGCTTAGTAAACAATGTAATAGAGTATTTAACTTACGTTTGATCAGTCATTTTTGGTTTTATTAATAAATTATTACAATTTATTCGACTTAGAAACGAAGCTCGATGAGAAGAGAGACTATTCCGAAGGTTAACGATTGTAATCGATGGCCATATATTCGCGCGAAAAATTGATTTTTTGAAATGCGCCTGGAAAGAAGAATTATTATTTTGTAGTTTTCCACCGAACTTATTTATTAAACTTCAAAAATAACAGTCTATTGTAACGAATGTTTTTCAAAGTTTACTTGATTTAAGCGAGCGACAAAGAATTTTTAAAGATCGGATTTGTTATCCAGCCAGTAGCGTACTGAAAATCCAAATGCCTGCATCAGTGGCGCACTACCAAGGTCCCATGCTTCGAGTTTCATGGTCTAAGCATTGTATATGTATTTCTAAGGTCCCACCACTGTAGTTTAAAGTTCATATTTTTTCAAGGTTTAAAACTAAACGTTTCATACTTAGGTTTCATACGAGACGTTGACATTATTTAAATTAAGAAAACAAACTACCTGTAGAAGCAGAAGTCATTTAATCGTTTGCGTATTGTCAGTTGCCTATGCATATGGATGTTCTCGTTTTCACTGATAAAATCCAGCGTCTTTCTTTATACAGAAATCAATGAATTTGTAACTATCACCGAAGAGTTATGGTTACTCTTTGCTATCACCATTGATTATACACATGTATAATCACTGCTACCACTATCAGAAGGGTGGGTTATATGGAGAGAATTGTGATGGTTTTATATTAGTTTAAAATGTAAAACGGAGATTGCATGTAGAGTCTACACCGTCAAAAAAAGTGAGTAATAGTGAGTGTGGACTTGTGGATTGCGTTCACAATTTCCATAACGTTCTAGAGTTTTTGATTTCGACATTTTAGTAATAAAAAATTAACTCTGAAAATATGGAGGCAAACCTCAAGAAGCTCCCATTGCGCAAAAGGGAACTTTCCGAAAAGATCATCAATAGTTCCTAACAAAGAGTGTTACTCTTTGGTTCCTAATGAGATATTGAGTTCACCGTAAAATCATTGCAAAAGCCCCGCCAAATGTTCAGAAATAAAAACTTCCTATAGTAGTCCCTATATATTGACTATACCTATAGTTTACTAAATTCACATTTCACAGTAAAATCTTATAATTAATAGTGATATAACTTGTGTAGAGTACCTAATCCAGAACTGTGGCCAGAACTCCATAATTCCACAAAAAATGTTCTCAACTATTGTATATTTCTTATGGAAATATTCAAGAAAACGCGTGAAATATTAAATATCATGAACTTTTTAGCGCGCTTTTTATGAATTAAAAATATGTAATATTGTTTGCGTTTTGTCTGTCCGTCCGTCCGTCGGTCCGGACCCACTTCTATCGTTTTGAACTACTTCTAGGGGAATGGTCCTAGACTCCTGGAGTTTTTTGCAGTAGGTAGCCTATACCTTAAAGGTGTGCCAGACGGCCATCAAATTTCGCTATCTAAAAGGGGCCCCCCCCTTAGGAAATGGGGGGGGGGGAACACATGTTCTACCTTTCATGGTATTCTAATGAAAGGTCTCATTGAAATAAATTGGTGTGTACAAACTATTACTTTCCCGGGCGACTCTTTTTCGAGATCAGTGAGCGACGGGGCCTGAGGGGCGGAGGGGTTAAGAATTAATTTTATCTCTCATTGTATTCTAATTAAAGGTCTCAACGAAAGGAACCGTTTTCTACCAATTACTGCCCTTCTTTCTGTCCTCTTATCAAAGTACGGGGTGGAGCGGGAGTGGAATTAGTTTTATCCTTCATGGTACTCTAATGAAAGGTCTCAACGAAAGGAATTAATTTCTACCACCCATAGCCCTCCTCCTCGACCTCTTATCGTGATCGGGTATATTCCTTTATACTTATACCTCAAGAACGGATTGTTGGAAGAGGGTACTCACAAAGGGCGATTGAGACGTCTGCAAGAAATATATCCATTGGTGATGTCAAAACAAAAGCTATTTCGGTTTAAAAAATGCGCTTTATCTGCACAAGAGTTGTGCATAATGCATACTTGTTTGTATTTGAGTGTGAAATGCAAAATCTGATTATAAAAAATTTCAGTGCCTTTGAAAGGCCATGCGACACTTTAACCATAACTTTAAAATTGCACCCAAAAGACAATCGAGAAAATTCTGGACCATTAATATAAAGGGAAGTCTGGATCAGGTAAACATGAGGTAAACAAGTTAGTTGACAGTTGACAAGCGACAAAGTGGAGGATGAAATAAAAAGTAGCATTATTAGAAATAAGTTTTGTTCGCAATGTCCAACCTACTGGAGGGCAATTATCCATGTATAGTTTAATTATTAGTATCATTAGTTTCCATCCAAAACGTTATTAGACAAATTCTCCGGATTTTTGAGGACTCGGCTCGAACCAAAAATTCTAATCAGAAACAGCCCCGAATATTTCTTTAACACTTGAAATACAAAGAATATTCTTGAGGTATGAAGAATTAATCATGAGTCGAGGAGGGCTGTGGTTGGTAGAAGGTAATTCCTTTCGTTAACACATTCATTATATCCGATTATTCTTTTGCGGAGCATCGTTGATACCATTAAAGAAATTACATTGGGTTTTAGGAACAAGTACAACACCTAGTCACCTGTCAACGCACGAGGTTTAAGGCGACAGAAGTGTTCGAAGTATTATTATTTATTTTCATAACTAAATTCTCCATCTTTACGTGAGCGATCAAAAGCGAGCAAGCGAAGCGGGCGGCACGAGCGGTGCGAGCAGCCAGAGCGTCCTCCCGTCCTACGTGAGTGATGAGAGCGAGCGAGCGAAGCGTACGACGCGAGAGGCGCGAGTGATGCGTGCGACCAATATATAATTAAGCGACACGTACTGACTTTTTTGAAACTTTGAATCACTCCCACCTTTTAAGCAATTTTTCTTCAAATTTGAAATTGTTATTCCTTTTTCTTATTTTTTTTAATTTGCTTAATAAAGAAACATTATTATTATTATAATTCCACCTTATAACCCAACCATTTACTAAGCTATTTCGATTTAAAAAATTGCGCTTTATCTGCACAAGAGTGGTGCACAAAAACCTTATTTTTTTACTGTTTTTAAATAGTAGGCCATAGATTCATGGAGATTTTGTTTTTTTTATTGGCTTATCTTAGAAACGTGGCATTTCAAAATTTTGAAAAATATGGTATAGGTACCTAATATCCAGGGTGTCCCATGACTCGTTGGACATAGCTTAACATCATATTCCTTGGTCAATTATACGTCGAAATTTCCTAATATACTTTGTCTAAAATTCAATATTTAGTTGAAATCAATCTAGTATGCTATGTAATTGTTTTGTCATATTGTTATAGTGATATTATTTATTCTGTCACTAGTTCCACTCCCCCCCGTTCCCCCTCTAGCCTGTACTTTGATAAGAGGACAGAAAGAAGGGCAGTAGTTTGTAGAAAACTGTTCCTTTCGTTGAGACCTTTAATTAGAATACAATGAGAGATAAAATTAATTTTTACCCCCCCCCCCCTCCCTCAGGCCCCGTCGCTCACTGATCTCGAAAAAGAGTCGCACGGGAAAGTTATAGTTTGTACAAACCAATTTATTTCGATGAGACCTTTCATTAGAATACCGTGAAGGATAGAACATGTGCTTCCCCCCCACCCCCATTTTCTAAACTTTAACTTGGCACCACTAAAGACATGCGTATGCAAAATTTGAGACCAATTGGTTGTCGTATCTAAAAGTTATGCACGTTTTACTTTCAAAAACAGCATCTCAGGAAATAATTCGTGGGGGAGCTCCCCTTTTGGACAGCGAAATTTGATGGCCGTCTGGCACACCTTCAAGGTATAGGCTACCTACTGCAAAAAATTCCAGGACTCTAGGAGCATTCCCCTAGAAGTAGTTCAAAACGGTAGAAGTGGGTCCGGACGGACGGACGGACAACACGCAAACAATAGCACATTTTTTTTATCTTTAAAAAATGCGCTAAAAATCAATAAGGAACATCGCAGTGCAAATTTTTACGTACTGAAGCTTTCTTCTACTTGTGATAATCTAACAAACTGTTTCCAAATTTTTGATCAAACGCTTTAACCCCGAGCAGTTGTATCAATAAAATGGTGGTTCGCTCGTAACTTTAAAATACAAAGATACACCAGAAAAGATAACGTTCCGAGAGATTTTGCATCATTTAAAATTCAAGGAAGTTTCGTGTTATCGTCAGCCAGATTCCAATGTGCACGATCCGTCACCTACTTTCCTAATTCTTGGTCACTGCAGTATTGTATCCAACCCAATTCGGTATGAATATTGTCACTTGCAAAAGGCCTTTTTTCACTTATAATTGCACAAGAGGTTTGTATTTTACCGAGTAAATTTGGGTTGTTTAGGTAATGAAAATCTGTTGCCTAGCAATTAGACGAGAAAAACTGTCAACTAATAAAAATGCGACACCGCAGGTGGAGCATTTTTAGGTTGACAGTTTTTCGAGTCCAATTGCTAAAAGGAAACAGATTTGAATTGCCACAACCCAAATTTACTCGGTTTAAATACAAACCTCGAGTGTAATTCGGCAGGACAATTTAACGAACAAGAAATTCACCAAACTAATCAATTATTGACAGACGTCAAACTAGTCATATGGGAAAGGATAATGCGATAATTGGTTCGAAAATGAATAAGTGAAAAAACCACTAGTGCATTTGTCGCTGGAAAAGTTGCAGGTAACTTTTGCCGCTGTCAAAGTGACAATTACACTGCGGCTTATGTGATTTTTTATACATGAGTTGAATTGTCATTGTAAAATTAAAGGTTTCGAATTTTTAAGAAAAAACGTCATCGTAATTTTAAATTTGATTGGTGTTTAAAAGTTAATTAAGAAATTTTGTGGTTTTAAATTCTTAAAGAGCTAAACCTATTGGTAGCTCAAGCCGTTTTGTCTTGCATGTATTTTTTTACCGTTTATGAACCTACAAAAACTGCATTTTTTTAAAAGGAGTTGAGTTTTGGCTAAAAAGTTATTTCGTTAATGGAAAAAATCATACATCAGAAAAAGAAGTGTGAAGTTGAATCTGCACGATTGCATGAAAGCACATCGAGACGCAAATCTGTCACCAAGAGAAAAGTATCCGGTTTTATGCTAGTGA